CATGCTGCGATAGACTGTGTTGTAGTGGAGCAGAGATTGATAGGCGGGCAACTCACAGTGCTAGTCCACCCAGTGTGCCAGGCTCGGCATGGTGCATCCGTTTTTCCTCGGCGAGCACGACAGAAGCTGGGCAACTGGACTGCCAAAAGTTTGAATGACGCAGGCACCACTTTACACTTCCAATGTCTTGCTGGGGCCTGCCTTACTCACTGCGGATCAATTTCTGTCACTTACCAAGGAAACGCTGACGACACTCGACAAGGCATACCCGCTGTGTACTTGTGTGCTACTGTGCATACATCCACATTTCGACGACCTTTTCCAGCTCGGCTTGAACCCATCGCGCCCATCACCGCTAGTTCCACGGGTTGCTATCTCATGAGGCAACAAGCACGCGACCACCGCCGCCAATCAACAAACGCCGTCAACCAACTGCCTCCAAAGTAACGAGAAAGTACCCGGTCACGCAAGAAAACTGAGCAGCACCCAGCCTGGGTATCTTGGCCGCTGTCACCGGACGACTCAGGGCTCCTCTATCTCCCAAGGAAAGGACCAGGATCTGCGGTCGCGGTCCTGCACCACGGGTCGGCATCTGACTACATCCACCCACACACGTCTCGTCCACGGCCCGGCCTAATCGTCACCCCTCCCGCCGTCCCCCGTCCTCCTCCACCACCACCACCTTTTTTTTCCGGTCCAAGGCGCGGTGCGCGGAATTGCGTCTCGAACGCCCGCCCAGTTGAGAGCATGCCTCTTTTCGATCTTGGTTCTCTTTTCCTCGACCACGTCGTTTTCATCACCAACCTGGTCTACATCAATATCGCCTTGACCAATGCAGAGCCCAGCATACTCTTCCCTCTTTATGTTGTGTCGAAACTGCTGGCTCGAGGACCTGACGATTGGGATTCCCCTACTGCGAAATGGCCGCCGCCGGTCCCCACGTGGTAGCCGATTGCGGCTACCAAACTCCAGATGAGCTCAACCGCCCTTCTTATTTCTCTGCCGCTCCTGAAGGCGCCTCGGCTTCTGCTCCTGCCCTGAGTTCGCCGGTGAGGCGCCCGGCATTTGTTCCGCATCCTTCCTATGGTCCTGTTCTGCCGTCCGACTCTGATCCAACCGCCTCAGATTCCCAACCGCATTCAAATGGGCATACCCCCGACAATTTGGATTCGCGCATGGAGAAGGGCTCTAGTAAAAGGTCACCCAATGGTCGTGTTGGTCTTCGTGATAGGATCGTCTGTCATACGTGGACATGGTTCACCATGGTATTGCATATCTTGAACTTTCTCTTCACATTCGTAGACTGACTGATAGCAGACGATGGTATGGCATACCGACTTCTTGATGCTCGCGATCTGACACTCACCATGACACAGGCAACCGGAGGAATGGCAAATGTAATACATTCCCGTAAGTCAACCAATCCCAAGCATGAAATGCGAACCTTCAAACTCACATCTCGACAGTCCCGTACCAAGCTGCGTGGCTAAATGGCATAGCCATAGCCTTCTTCTTACTGAATGTTCTTCTTTTCGTCATGAACTGTGTCTTGGCAACATTGCGTTTCCACTGGCGCCCAGGGACCTTGGTTCATACTTTCACCGACCAGACAGAATCACTTTTCATACCGGCATCTGTAAGTCAAGACTATCTTGAGTCCTACAGTCACTAACACTCTGTCCCAAGGTTGTTTCGTAAGTACCATCTAGCGCTCGCCCATGAGGACAAACTCTGAACGTGACAGGTTTGCCATCATATGCATAAACATTTGCCAGTTTGGTGTTCCGTATGTTGGGCCATGGCTCCTGAGGATTATGCAAATCTTGTTCTGGTCATATACCGCGATGAGTATGCTGGCTAGCGCTACCATATACTTGGTCCTCTGGTCTACATTGTAAGAGTTCCCTAAGCTGAGAAATCTTGTAAACTGCTAATGGCCCTGAAGAGTCTTCCCCATCCACACTATGACGCCAACCTGGGTATTCCCAGCCTATCCTCTCCTTCTCACTGCGCCCTTCGCCTCAAATCTCATCACGGCCGCATCCCAGACAAACCAGACGCAGGTCATCTTGAATAGAACGGCGATTGCGCTCTCTGCTGTGGCCACACAAGGTGCAGGATGCTTGATCGCCTTCATGATCTCAGCCGCCTTTATCTATCGATTAATGACACAAAAGCTGCCGCGCGACTTTCAGCGGCCTGGTGTGGTACGTTATACTGCCATCTGCTTAGGAAGAAAGTACTCATCATCTATTAGTTCATCTCTATTGGACCATTTGCGTTCACGGTTGGTGGGATAGGTAAGATTGGCTATTCGTATCATTCGTGGTGGTTTGCTGACCTCCACAGTCCTGCTGGGGAACCAAGCCGACAAGATTTTGCCTCAAGGATTCTTAGGCACCGACCTAGCCGTACCAATTATCAAGGTGCTCTCTGTCATGATCGGATTGTGGCTCTGGGGTCTCTCCGTGTGGTTCTTTGTCGTCTCCGTCGGGTCGTTGTGGAAGTATGTGCGTCCAGCAAACAAGATGCCCTTCCAGATGACGTGGTGGTCGTTTGTGTTTCCCAACACTGCGCTCGTCACTGCCACTGCGGCCCTTGGAAAAGTGTTCCAGAACTCTGGGCTTCAGATTTTTGCGTGTGTCATGGCTGCAGGATTGATTGTTGTATGGGTTGTCGTGTTTGTGACCATGGTTCGATGTCTGTACAAAAGGGAGCTGCTTTGGCCGAAAGATACCCAATAATGGTCAAGCCTAGGCTGACTTTCCATCACGTAATTCTAAAATGAACATAAAATATGTTACCAGGTGGATGCGCCGGATAGTTGATCGAAAAGCCAATTCCATGATGTAAGTCAGGTCGTTGGAAATGCCTTCCAGGCACTGCTCCACCCCCTGTCACGCCCACAGTGCGGTGTTCGCTAAAGGGAGACGCGCAGCGGGATGCGAGTGGGGCCAGGTGTCCTGCTCCCAACCACCAACCTCTCACTCACCAATTCAGGCACGGCCTCATCGCTGATGTCAAGTGTCCTCATTGGGAATTCGCGACAACGTTCTCACATGGCATCGTATCGACCATATCGGACTACGGTGTGATAATCATACTTCGGCCATAATGTCGTGGGATTCCAAGTCGGCATTGCGCCGACGCCAAAGCAGCAACGCAGCTTCAACCAAGAACATCCCCATCCATACACGCCAGCAGTCCAAGTCGACCATTGAGCCAAAATCGAGCCATGTAGCCGACGACTTCTTGCAAGACTTTTTGGATCCCTCTTTTGATCCTGCAGCCTACCTCAACGCTTCGCTGCCGCCGTTACAGCCTAGCGGTCACCATGCCTCACGCAATGGAGGTCAGACTGTTCCTTTGGCCGATCTCTCCAACGAGGCGCAGACGTTACTATCCCGGCTCAATGTCCACACGACCAGGCTCTCAGGAACCCTCACACAGCTGACTGACGATATTCTGAGAAGTGGCAGTCGACTTGCGTATGAGGTCGAACTCTTGCGAGGCGAGACGTTGAGTCTTGCCGAGACGATGAACGACACGTTACAAGACGACATCAAAAAGTTTGTCCCCGGTGGTCTTAGTGAGGCCACGAAGGACGCTCCTTCTAAAACGACGGACGCGGAGGAAAGGAAGGCTTCAGTCGGCGCGACCAAGGCGGAAGAAGCCACCGCAGCGACGGTACCGGCCGAGGATGAGGGCGCAGTTGAGGAGCCACCGTACATCAAGCAGCTGCGCACCCTGACTGTGGTGCGGTCTCGCCTGGACTCTGTAATCAAGACGTTTGGCGATGCCATGGACTTTGTGTTTCCGCCTTCGGAACTCTCAGTCAGCTCATCCTTCCTCTCCGTGTCAGCGCCAGAGCCCGGCTCCGATCAGCACAGCACGGAGGACAAGGGCCAGCAGGTGCTCCAGAAGCTGCGGGACGAGATATCACAACTCCTGCACAAATCAGAGGACCCCGTTCAGGGGATCGAGAAGGCGGCGCAGCGAATCGAGGAGCTTAAGGACCTCAACCAAGTGTGGAAGGGCACGGCGGAGGAGAAGGGACGGACAAAGTTCATTGAGAGTCTGGCCAAGATGGTCGAGGACCGGCACCGCGATCTGATGAAGGAGGTGGACCAGGCGAGTCGGAACCAAGGCAACGGGATTGAGGGGAGAGCGCGCAAGGGGAGCGTTCATGCCGACCCCGCGGAAACGAAGACATATCTTGGTGGCTATGGCTTGATGAGCCAGCTGCAGAAGCTTAGAAGCGGACTGTAGGCTGTCATTATGAGATCACGCATCGAGTATCTGGAAATCCCAGACGTCCCAAATATGATTAATACAATGTTGCTGCTTGTTGCTTGCTCATAATCGCGTATCCCATGCGGTCCTGAATTTTGGACCTGGTCTGTCGCTGTCTTCTGTCCAGGACCCTGTCGTACGGTGCGCAAGCCGCGATACACAGGGATAATGCGCTGGAAATTGACGTGGCACAGTGCTGCCGTTTTTTCGTCCCTTCTTGGTTCTGTCACTAGGCTCCTGGTCAAAGCGAAAGTCGTCGGCGGGCCACGGAGCCAATGAAAAATCTCAGTCCGCCAGCGGTCAGGTACAGAGCACCCTTGCAGCCACTAACTCAGAAGGCTGACAAGGTCGCCTGGCACAAGACCATTCTTTCGCGGTGCCCTCACCTTTCTCCTCCGGCCCAGCTTCCCACACAAACACCGCAGCGATCTGCCTTACGAATGGGCATTTGGTTAGGTTCCTCCTTTTCTGAGAGATGTGATTGAGAGATATAATCTCTTGTTCATACCTCGTCGACGTCAATCTATATACATCTTTGTCTTCTTTTCTCTCTGCCGCACCCGTCGCCCGAGCTACGGCTTGCGACGGCCGGCTTCACACCACCCGCCCGGTTCCGCTGACCAAAACCTCAATCTTCCTCCACGCTCAACCCGATCTATAACACTCGAAGCCAGCAATTCACGTACGATCTTCGATTATTCAGTATCATGGCTACCAACGACGCAGCTCCCCCCAACCTGGGGGGCGCTTCGGGCCACCAGAAAACCGGTCGAGCGTCGCCCGCACCCGCAGCTCAATCGAAGCGCGACCGCAAGCGCCAGGTCCTGGCCGACAAGATCAACAGTCTCCAAGAGAAATTCAACCGGGATCGTGAAGTCGGATACCGTGACCAGCTCCAGAAAGTTCAGGTTGACACCAACTTGGTTCAGCGTATCGATCCCTACTCTGAAGACGTCCTAAGCGTCATCGCCAGCCTGCGCCAGGAGCATGACGAGACCCAGGGACAAGAGCCGCTGGCCGATTCCAGCCGGACCCTCCTTCAGATGGCAGGTCCCAAATTCGAGGACTTTGTCCAGGGTATCGAGGATCTCATTGAGTACCGAGACTTTCACTTACTCCAGCACATGGTGAGTGCGACCAACTTTTCCAACGGTCGGCTAAACTGACAATTGCAACAACAGCACGAACACGAGCGCCGCCTCCACCAATACAAGAATGAATACCTCTACAAGGTCGAAACCGCAAAGCGCGAGCACAGCGCCCTCTCTGCTACGCTCCGCGATCGTCTCGTCAACACTCTGCTCTCGAGGAAAATCCGCCTTAATAAGGAGAAGGAAGCTCTGGAAATCTCCGACTCGTCCGCCTTGCTGCTCCACCCCAATCAGTTCAGCATTACCAACCCCGCCAGTCCTGGCGGCACACATGGGAAGCGAGCAACAAGGTTGCGCAAGGACGCCGAGGAGTTTCCGGGCTATTCGGATAACAAGAAGCGCAAGAGGAACCCCGGCGAGGACGACGGCTCTCCTGTCCCCTCCAGGCGGGCGCTCGACCCTAACAGCACGACACCCCTCTGGCAGAACGAGAAGCTTCGCGTCGCAGCGAAGCAGAACGGTCCCGCCTACAGTATTGATAAGCTTTTCACCGAGAAGGAGCTCACGATGGCGTACAATGCGGCAGCGATTGCCGCCCATAAGCACATTCTGAGGCACAAGGCCTACGCGAACGGTGGCTCGTCCCCCGGTAGCGATTCCGGTCACGGCGAGGACGGCGACCAGGATAGTGAGGCTTGGCCTGCCGCGCCCATGATGGAACGCACCAGCTCTCACGCGACTAGAAGTACCAGGGCTGGCATCAATCAGAATCTGATTGACGCCGTTGAGGGTGCCAATGGATTGGAGTTGCCCAAGTACCTCGAAATCATGCATCCGCATGAGCCCGCCAAGCTGCCGTCATCATCCATGACCAACTACTTCAAGCCTGTCAGGGGAAACACCGATGCCAACCTCCCGCAGTCGCTGTCACAGGATGAGATCAGCTCTGATATCATGGTCATGGACCTGTTCAAAAAGTACGATGCTAGCCATAAGCCCGGCGATTCCATCGACCACCCCAATGGCAGCAGGAGGCTGCTTGAAGCTTCCATTGCTCCTTACACCAAGACGCCTTGGTCAGGCTTCAAGCCTGGTCCTCGACCGGACCCGACGAACCTTAGAGAGGATCTCCAACCGATTGAGAGCAGCGTGAGAGACGAAGCTCCCCCGCCCATGTCATCTCTTGCAGCCGTCGCTGCGGTGCCGATGAGCCGCAACAGTAGCGCGGCTGGTGGTGCGGCTATGAGCCGGCAAGGCAGCTCCCGCGGAAAGGGCCGCAAGAACCAGTCATGAACATGCTGATGATTTTACGGTGTCTCGGAGTTCGGAAAAGGGTTGGGATTCGGTATTTAACTATTGATGTTTTCAGGAAGGCCAGCATCTGGGCGATACGTGGACAACACGTCCCCTTTCCCGCGGTTAGACCCCGCGTATAGAGCGACTATGCATTTTCATTTTTCGAGACCTACGATTAAGGACTGTACGTTGTGGAAGCATACGGCTCCAGGACACAGGGTGGCATATGGCACGAGAGCTTGTGATTACGAGGGGACGCGTCTCCATCTGATATTAAGACAGCTCGCATGCATTGATACCCTAATGCTCTTAATTTAACATGTTATCGTGAAGTTATTATCTAGTCTCTACTCTTTTCCCACTCAAGGCCCGAACACTAGCGCGCGAACTTCGATGCTCTCGCGGCCTTCAGCATCAGGTCTTGTCCTAGGGTCAACGAAAGCAGTATGAGCCAGTCTTCCCCCCTGAACCCCGGTCCCATCCCGAAGCCCCTCACTGTCGAAGCACTCGAGAAGCAGCCGCTCGTCTCCGGTCATGCCGCTCAGGTAGTACCACTTCTGGCTAGGGCTAAACTTGATCCCCGCGGTCTCGCCGGTGTAGCCGTTGGAATACCGATGTTCGATGGGGACGATGTCCGCATCGTCCAGCGTCGAAGAGGAAGCGAAACCCAGCGGAAACGACTCGACGGGGTTCTTGTTGAGCGGCCTCCAGACGTTGATGATCCGGTACCGGCCCGCCAGGAGCTTGTGCGCCTCCTCAGGCAGGTGCTTCTTCACGCGCTGGATGACGGAGACGGGCGTCTGGTCGATGTGCACGCGGGTGACGGGGTTCCTGTTCGCCTTGAGGTCTGCGCGGCGGATGGTGTGGTCAAAGAAGAGGACCCGGTTGGAGCCCGGAACGTGCTCCAGAAGAAGCTTCTCGAGCTCCGGGTAGTAATTCTGCTTAATGGACTCGTCGTCTACAAACTCCTTCTCGGCGGACGGAGGCTGGTTGCGGATGACGGCGAAGGCGTCCTGGTCGAGGTTGAATTCAGCCTCGCGGCCGCGGATGTCGTGCAGGAGGGCCTCCTGGACGTCATCTGAGTAGTTGCGTCCCGGGAGGCCTTCGGGGACGATGGTGTTGTAGGGGGCGGAACCGTCTTCGGGAGGGGCGAAGAAGTTTAGGGTTGCGCGGACATCACCGCGGGGGATGGTGTCGATGGCCATAGTGTTTATGCTGAGAGGGGTTATGAGATACAAAGTCGGATAAGTTGGTCTGAGAACCAGGGGACGTCTGGTGAAGTCGAAGATGAGGCTGACGATGTTTTGAGTTTGAGACTTATACCGAGGTGTGCCGTGGCAAAAGTCGGGTGTAAGTGTTCACAATGGGATGCGGATGATGATGTTTCAATGGAGCCTGGTGTTTCCGAAGTCTTCGGGATACAAGGGATTCACTATTTCTTTATACCTGTAAACATCAATGGTGTATTTCAAAGCAAGACGGAAAATGAAGCCATTCGAAGCGCACCATGGCCATTGCTTGTGAGAGAGCAATCACGTCATTTGGGCTGATTGGACGGGCAAGGAGCAGCGCAGAGGATGGGGATTAGTCAAGCCGGGCCTCGAAAGGCGCAGAGTGGAGGATGCACGCGGGGATGGGCTTCTTGGCCAGCGGATTAGTCAAGGTGGCTTACGGCAGCCAGTTTGAATTGAGCCGGGAGACGTGGCATTGGCTGGGTCCTTTGGAGCTGCAAGTCATGTAAGTGCGGGTTTCTATGCACAATGAATGTCGACTTGACACTTAGATTTGACGTCCATCAAAGGGCTGCGAGTCCGACCTACGGGAAGGATTGCTTCTTGCTGCCCGTCCCCGTCCCCTACCTACCTCTCGACCTTAGATGCTAGCAGCTGCTGGGACTTGGGCATCGTCGCGCATCGTTCAACCCAACATTTTGCGTCATTCTTCGGAGCATCTGACCGGACAAATTGGGTTCGTGCAAGGCGAGGAGCTTTGATGCCCTCTTGGGGTGATAGAGTTCAATCTCTGGCAGCTATCGGTGCACGATCCCAAACGGCGAGATCAGATCGCGATACCGATAAATGCCGGTACAAACCCAAAGCATTCCCCGAAACTGGGGCTGCCGGGAATAAGCAGCGTGAAGGGTGGCTTTTACATAAGCAAATGCGATCTGGGGAAGCCGGTCGATGATGACATTCCACCGTGTAAAAGAAACAGTGCTATCGATAGTGGTCACTGGCTGCAACACTTCACTCCAAGAGGGTGCAGCCGCTTTCCCACCCGACTCACCCATTTTTCCCACCCGAGGGTGCTGCCCACTGTGTGTGTTGCAGTGTTCCACTGCCCAAGCATCGGCACTTTTCTGATCTTCTTCAGCGTCTGAGTGGTCTCTGACGGGTGGTGGGGCTCAGCCGGCGCACTGCTTGCAGCGAACCAAGAGGAGCCCGCCCCCAAAAAGCCTCCCAATCAGTGGCGACGGCTGAATGAAAGGGAGCCCAGGGGCCGGTTCTGCCCCCTTTCAGCAGCAGTGAACAAAGGCTAATTTTAGTAGTGCGGACCTTCTCCCGGCGTGTCTCCTCGCAAGGGCCCTGAATTAACCCCGACCTCTGTCCCGTCCGCTGCTGCTGGCTTGCTGCAAGCTCAGACTGCCCGGCCGAGTCGATTGATGTTTGAATTGAACCAAGCTTTTTCATCTTGAAAGCCTACCCCCATTGACACGGAGCTTGGTATCCGAGTGAGATCCAGTGAAGGGACGAAATCGACATCGACCGTCGGCTTTTACCTGTCGGGGATTACGCCTCCTGCAATTGTTGGAATCTCTTCATCCACAGTACCACCGCGCGCCTTCAACACCATCAACCGCGAAACCACAGAGACAGAGACAAATTGGGGTCCCGCTTCTGAACGGTGATGCCTCCGACATCCCCAGTCACGTCGCGTCGCTAGCTTGCCCACTTGGCTGGCCTGGCCTGGCCCCCTCCCTTCGTCTCGTCCGTTGCGCAAACCTCTGCCAAATGCGCCTGGTAATCGTTCATCCCGCGACTCGTCCATGTTGATGATGATGTCCATTTCCACGGACCCTCCAACACCGACTCATGCGCCATGATATCCCCGCAACAGCAACACCAGCACCAACACCAGCACCAACACCAGCACCAACACCAGCATCCAACCCGCTTGCATGGGCAATCCCCGTCGCCGTCCATGGCCCATCAACACCACTTGCCACTCGCAACCACAGCTCCTCTGCCGCCCCCATCCTCATCATCCATGACGGCACGCTCGACACTCCCAGACAGGAACGTGACCGCTGCCACCATCGAGGAAGCCTACGTGCAGTTCGTGCTGCATTGCAATCCCGCCGTGCCGGCTGAGACGGACACCGCTGCACTACGGGAGGCGTTCCGGGTGCCGCCAAAGAGCGGCGGCAAGAGCTTCAGCACTTTTACCCTATTCCAGCTCATCAGGCAGCTGGAGACGAAAGAGATCAAGACATGGGCCGAGTTGGCGCTCAAGTTGGGCGTCGAGCCACCCGACCAGGACAAGGGGCAAAGCTCGCAGAAGATCCAGCAGTATGCTGTCCGCCTCAAGGTATGTGTGAAAGAGTCTTTACGGTCTGAGAGAAGCTGATCATTGCAGCGATGGATGCATTCCATGCATGCGGATGCCTTTTTTGAGTATTTGATGGATCATCCGCATCCGTACTGGACTGAGATCCCTGACGACCCGACTCCTGTGTGTGAAGCAGGACGGGATGGCGTAATGGCTGAGGACGACATGGCTCTTCGAGCCCTATTACCACACATCAAGCCTCGACGTGGTAGGAAACGTCCGGAAGATGACGACCTTGCAAAGTCTCCATCACAGCGCGCCAGGATAGACTCGCCGCCAATAGGGAACGGCTACAGAGAAAACCTGGGCTCGTGGTCTGCTCACCCCGATGGCAGGGCTACCTTTGGCTGCTCAGATCCTCTAAAGCTGAGCGCAAATACAGCATCGGCATCCGGCTGGCCACAAGCCCCTGACGCGGCGCAGACACCACTCTCAGCGTACCCTCAAGGCCCAATGTCTGCCATCACGCCGTCGACAAACCGCAATGCATTCTGGGGTGAAGCGGAGCCCAGGTCGGCAATCACGCCATCAAAACCAAAGGGGTCACATCGGAGGCACGGCGCCAAAGTCGTCTCTTCAGCATGGCGGAGTGGTGGTCCCGGTGCCTCCGGCAAGACCCGCGGCAGGCCGCCGATGAACAAGGCCAACGTCGACGGGCCGTTTGTAGCATTTCCTGCGGAGGGACCAGCTTACAAAAAGCCTAGCCCAGAGAACAAAAGCGTCGAGACGCCGATCACGCCCGCTGCTTCAATAACCCAAAACACACCACCAGATATGCCCCAGGACTACTACTTACCGCGCATACCGCAGATGCCGCGGCCAGCGAAGCCCAGCATCTCGTTACAAGTTCCCGACCGGCCCGGCGGCGCAGTCCGGCTGGCAACACCGCCCCCGCCTGTAGTCATGGTCAACGGTGACCTACCAGACGCAGGGACTCTTCAAACGACGGCGCCGGCTGTCGAGCTACCTCCCGGCAGCGGTGACAACGGCTTGACACAACCGCCGGTAGATCTGCGAGCCCAAGAGACCGCGCCAGACGTTCTGCCTGCCGTGAAGGGCAACGAGCCGCCGCCGCTATCGAACGACATCCCCGTCGGTATGTTCGAGAACATGGAAGACCGCACCAACATCGAAGCCGTGCTCGGCTACTTCACCGAGGAGACGGCGAACGGCGAATGGGTGGACCAGGACAACAACCCAATCGAGGGGTGCAGCATGGCGGAGGCGTCCGCACTAGTGCACACGACGGTCGAGAGGATGTGGCAGACGGCACCGAACCAAGACGCCTTCCTGATCAACCTTGCAGCATTGGCCGGCGGTAGAGCGCTGATGACGACAAGCAAGCTGAAGGTCAAGCGCGAGATGGAGTACGAAGACCGCGCGACGTACAGCTGCGCGTGGGAGTTCCGGATGGGGAGCATCCGCGGCAACTACAACATGGTGCAGACGGTCATGTATAACAGATGGAAGAAGACCGAGGAGGAGAAGGACAGAGATAAGCCGGCCGAAAAAGCGACGATAGGGGGTGTCATTGAACCAGAGTCGGGGTGGGAGCAGAAATACCGCGACCTGCTGGCGGTGTCTGAACGGCGAGACAAGGAGTTGCAGGATCTCAGGTCCGGACTGGTATCGACGCTCAGCAAAACTTTCAAGGATGCAAAGGAGCTGGACGAGAAGCATGCTAAAAAGGTGTGAGGGCGGGGCGGTCACCCGGAAAATGGAAATAACGGCACACAGCACATATCAATGTTTGGGGCTGTAGGTGTAATATTGTGAAGGACATGGGAGCAATGATTCGCATTTGGAACGACCAAAAGCATTCAAGCCGGCGTGGGGAAATCTTGATATGGGACCGGCTGGAAGTCTGGAGTAATAGGCATATCGCCGAATATGACACTTTGACTTCGTTTTGGCTCGAGTCTTTGGACATCGGTGCCTGTATTGGGGCTAAACGATTTTTTGGGATTCGCGGAGCAATATCGACTTGCAGTGTTGGAGCCAAAACTATTACACGGGGTTCAACAAACTTGCAGCGACGTCCTGAACCGAGAAGACCTAATTTGTTGTTTCTAATTTTCACGTAGCAGGTAATTATATGATACCTGCATCAAGATTACGGTTTGCTCCAATCATTTGGGTATTTCCCCTCTTGAGGGCTGATTCTGTGGATTCCGCTGGCTTTACGATAGTTTGACAACAAGGTGCCCGCCAGAAAACACCACGATCCCCGATCGTCCCACGAGCTTGGTCTTATAACTCTAACTGAATCCAGATACTCATATCCGTCATTTCCATCATCAACCCTCAGTTGTCTGCCGTCGTCCTGCCTTCTTTTCCGCCCACAATGCCATCATGGACCCCGGCGAGATCATGGACCCCCACGAAGATTTCATCAGGCCTACCGAAGAATATGCAGTTGGGAAGGAGTTCAACTTATTCCCATACAAGCCCGATGAGCCTCATGGCACGGAAGTGTACCGACGTCGACGCCTTCCGGCAGACGAGATCGTCGGCAGCATCCGGGGTTTTGACCCCACGAAGGACTTCACCAACACCAAAGCCAGGGTGCGGATCGATGAGCACATTCGCATCAGCATGAATCAAAAGTCTCAAATCTTTGGTCTGAGCATCGTGAAGGCCCCGATAGACGAGCGTCCGGCAAGTGAGCAGCAATCCCTCTACCACCCAGTCGGATCTGGCCAGCCCATCACCTGGAACCTCGCCGGCAAGGCGGTCGATGTGGAATACGCCTCGAGCGATTCCGTGGGAGTTAAACAGATTGAAGAAGCGGCTGACGGGCGAGTGTGCTGCGAGCACGCTGCCTATACGTACTATCGCAGCCTGGGCAAGACTGGATACCCGCACGTTATGCCGCAGTTCTACGGCACTTGGGTCATGGAGATTGACGACGGATTTGACGATGAGGGTATCCAGGTGAATAGATACGTCTGTGTGTTGCTCCTTGAGTACATTCACGGCTACTCCATCGATGAGCTGTCTTATCGTAGTGAGGAGGATGAGGGCTACTTTGGCAAGCTGGCGGGCTTTCAACGGGTCGACAACACCTGGACCAACGTCTGGATGGACGAATCAACTCGAGCGCTTGTCATCAAGAAGATGCTCCACGGTGTCGTTGTCGGCATGCACCACGGCGTCCAACACCACGAAGCCAGCCCGGAAAACGTCTTCATGACTCTGCGGGACGGCACCAACAACACCGACCTGGACGAGCTCCGCGTGGTTCTCCTCGATCACACCTCAACCCAGATCTGGCGCAAGACCGTCGATTCACATTTCTACGGGAGAACACACTGTCTCGAGAAGCTCCCGTACCCAATTCATCCCAAGCAGGGTTGCAGCGTGATGCCACTTGAGGACTACGTGGGATGGTGGCCTCCTGCTCCCGAGGACCGTCCTGGGGAAGACTTGAATGAGATGTTTGACGATTGGATGCTCAGCGAGGACGTGTTTGGCCCATTGGTTGAGGCGCGCGATGTTGAAGCGGGCTTACAGGGGAAAGAGTGGCCGCATAAGTATGCAAAGTACTCCACGTTCGATACGCTGGACGTTATCGAGGCGCAGAAGCCTCAGGAGATGAGGAAGAAGGCGATGCGCAAGGTGATTATCCCCAAGGTCCTCTCGTACTGGCGTATGATGAAAGATGAGGGCCGGGCGGAGCTCGAGGATCGGCACAAGATTTGTGAAGAGAGTGATGACGAGTCTTTCGAAGACAGTAGTTCGTCTCTTGAGGAGTATACTAGACATCTTCAAGGGAGGAACGAGTTTCTCGAACAGCACATCAAATCTCTCGAAGAGAGAAACGAAGCTCTCGAGAAGAGAAACAGACTTCTTGAGGAGAAGCTTGAGGCGCTCAGTTCGGAAGAGTCTTCCGCAAGCTTACAGTGTTCGTTGTCTAATTCCCAGCCCCCGCGAAACCAACAGCCTCAACCTGAGCAAATTCCACGCCGCCCAGCTGAGCCGTCTTTTAGCCCCAAGGCTCTTTACGACGAATATCTCTCTTCTATCGGTATAGACAGTTCTAAACACCCGTTTACACCACCCAGTTCCTCTCCTAGTCCTCTTCAGGATGGAGCATCATTACAAGGCTCATCTCGTTTTGGCGAAAGCCCTAGTCCTCCCTCAGCTATTAGAAGAGGGGGAAGTCGCAGCAAGAAGTCAGTTCAATGGCAGGAAATGGAAGGGGAAGTGGAAGTGGAGAAGGAAACAGATGGTTTGATCCAATGTGAGCAGGTACCCACAGCAGACTAGAAGTTAGAGTGCATATTTTGAGCAGAGAAGTAATGTCTGAGCAGGTAGCTACTTTCGCCTTTTTTGATTCTGGTTTGTCTCTGTCATAGTGCCGCTCGTCGCCCTCCCTCGTCGCTGGTCCCCAAACTCTGGCCTCGTCCTCAGTAGCCCTCTCATAAGGCCTACTTTGAGGTTTTGACGATCACATACCAGAGCAAGATGGAGGAGATGGTCTGAAACGATTCTCACGCTGCAAATTGTCAAAAGAATCACCTCAAGAGACCAAATCACCACTGACGAGGATTATAAGTGAATGTTGTTAGTAGAAGCCTCTCACAGGATAGCTTACTAAGTCCCCACAGAGAGAGCTCCAGCGCGTCAACCAATGAGATGGAAACCGCTCAACTACAACAAACCTCCAGTTCACCACCTTCTCCGAGTCGCCCTATGCCCGCGTAGCTTTAGAAGTGTCATTTCAATATGCTCATCAAGGAGTCTCACGTCGATGTGCCGACCAAGGCGGACGGCAAGGATGGGACCATGAGTATGTCCCCTTCGACTCTCAGATCTTGTCTCCGAAATCACGGATGCTAACGACTCACAGGAATCTTTCTCTTCCACCCCTCGATCCCCGGTTACCCCAACGCGTGAGTATAAGCCATTCTGACGCTGCCTCAGAGCATCTCAATTGACAATTTTACCAGCAAATTCCCCGGCGTCTGCCTCTTTTCCGAGATTTACCAAGGTCCGCATCATCCCCCTCCGGCGGGGTCGAAGAAGCACCCCGCACAACCCCTCCACACCACTGTCAACCCCACTCACCGATCTTCACCGATCTACACCGGGATCCTAACCGAACATCTTGCTTGCATCATGTTCCTTCTCTCCACTCAAGCATCCATCATGATGAAGAATGTCAACTTGCTAAGTTGAGTCAAAACAGTGACCGGCCCCGTCGCCCGCTTCGCTCGCCAGATCGCCGGACAAGGCTACATCGTCGCGGCCCCGTCATCGTACCACGAATTCACCGGTCCCGAGCCCCTGGCCTACGACGTGCCAGGCACTGACGCGGGCAACGCCTGGAAGGTCGAGAAGGTGAGAACTCCCATCTTTGACCCATATTCCTCCCTCCTTTGGCTTACCCCTATTCTCACTCTCCAGACCCTCGAGTCCTACGATGAAGACTCCCGCAGAACAGTCGACGTCCTCCTCGGCCTGCCCACCTGCACCGGCCTCATCGGCAGCACGGGCATGTGCCTCGGCGGCCACCTCGCCGTCCGCGCCTCCGTAAGCTCCCAAACCCCCCTCCCTTCATCATGCCCCTAACACACCCACCAGCTGGACCCTCGCGTAACCGCCTGCGTCTCCTACTTCGCAACCGACATCCACTCCCGCACCCTCGGCCCTCACTCGGCCAAGAACACCTCCGCGACCGCCCCGGAGGGCAGCACGCACACCCTCGACCTGCTGCCGACCCTCGCGCACGCCGAGGTCGCCATGATCTTCGGCGTCAAGGACACCCACGTCCCCGCCGAGGGCCGCGACCTCATCCGCGCCAAGCTGCGCGAGGCTGGCGTCACCACCTCCTTCTACGAGTTCGCCTGGGCCCAGCACGCCTTCATCCGTGATGAGCTGAGCAAGGGCCGCTACGACCCGGCCATCACCAAGGTGTGCTTCGAGGTGTTGCTGGAGCTGTTTGGGCGCGTATTGAAGACGGACCTGGGGGCTCCCGAGGTTGTTGGCGAGCCTGAGCACGTCTGCTAAGCTGTGATGTATTTGGGTAGTGCTACTTATCCTCATACATATCTCACTTCACCATGAATATGGAAAAAGTCTCAAGTGATCTCTCAAGAATAGTATTTAACTGCGGACGACATGTCATCATACTCTATTCGTAATCTATCTGGTTCCCCCATGTGAGTTTAAGGAAATTCATTAGGCACGGGGAGCCAGTCTCAATGCCCACGTTAAGAAAAGGGCGCCGCCAGTGTCGATGCATCTGGCCGGCTTGGTATTATTCTCTCCATCATCTTTTCCATTTTCTCCATTTTACTTCATTTTTTTTTTTTTTTGGTTCTATATCCCCGCTACCACTACTGCTTCTTCTGCGTGGTCTGTTGGGAGGTTCCCTGGGCGGCTTGTTGACTGTTGGAGACGCTTCGTCCTCTGGGGCGCTGGCCTGATGGGGGAGCGCTCTGGAGGGGGTGCGGTTCCATGGCGGTTGCTGACGTAGGGGACAAAGATTGGCCGGCGTAGTAGCCTTGAGACGGGGCGCCGTAGTACTGGGAGTTGTAGGTTCCGGTCACGCCAGTCTCGGCCTCCTCGTCGTAGGCGCGGTTGTTGCGCGAGGTGGTCTTGGTGAGGTACATGCTAGGTCCCTCGCCCATGGGGGATGAAGGGATGGCTTCACCGGGCTTGCGACGGCCGCCGCCACCCTTGGTGCTGCCTCTCTGCAGCAGCTGGCTGCGGACGCGCTCGATATCGTTGGAACGACGGCGGTCTTCCGACTTACGGTCCTTAGATCCCGACAGAGTATCGTCGTCGCCCACCCTGTATCCCCACTCGTCCTCAGCCAAGATGTCGCGCGTGTTGAACTCGTTCATGGCTTGCTTCTCCACCTTCGAGTCAACGGCGTCGTTACCATCCGCAGCGGCCGAGGGAACCATGCGAGCAGCCTCCTTGTCCTTTGCAGCCTTGTCGCGAGCCGCCGCCGCAAAATCATCAGAAACAGCGACAGAGTACGACGGGTTGCCAGCAGCACCGAGAGCTTCGCTGCCACCACCGGGAGCATAGATGGGAATCTTCTTGAGGGCGAGAGCGAGAGCGCACATGAACTTGGAGCGGCGAGTAGCACGAACGGCGTCGTTGTGCCAGTTAGACTTGTGCTTGATGGCGATCTTGAGCTGCATCTTGTCCAAGTCACCGACTCCATAGACACCAATGGCAATGTCTTGCTGGAAGTCGCGGGAGTTGTCGGCGTGACGGACGAAGTTCTCCATTTCGAGGCGTAGAAGCTCGAGGTCCTCGAAAGTAGTGTCGTAGGAAATGTTGAGGTCAATAACCTCCTTCATGGCCTTGGAACGGGAAACGTTCTCAATCCAGAGGTTGTTGAGCTGAATGTTGGGCACCTGCACCACCTGCATCTTATCGATGCGGGTGAAGACAGTGTAGAGAAGGGAGATCTTGTCGACGATGAGTTGCTGCTTCTCGGAGCCGACAATATCAACTCTGTCACCGACGTCGTAGGGGTGCTTGACGAAGAGAAAGATGCAGGAACCGAGGAATTCCTGGGTGGTAACGGCGAAGACGAAAGAAAGAGACAGGAGCGCGGTTCCGGCAGTAGCGACGGTCTGGAAACGTTAGCTGTGTCCGAAGTCACAGTGTGCAGGGTATACTTACAGTCAAGAAGCTGGACTGGAACCAAGCAAGGAAGATGAAGACGACGATCAGGAGGACAACAAACATGAGGACCTTATCGAACACGCGGAGTGCCTGACCAATGTCCTTCATTCCCTCGGTAATAGCCTTGCGTTCTTTGCCGATCTCGACGACCTTGCGCGTCATCTCTTCCAAGCTGATATCGCCATTCTGGTCGTTGTCAATCATCTCGAAAGACTCCTCGGCCTCTTCGGAGTAGGCAGGTCCAAGCACTTCCTGGAAATCTTCGGGGTACAGCGAGTCCTTTCCTTCGACGACGAAAGACATCCAGATACGGCGGGCAAGAGCCTCAGAGGGCTTGGTCTTTTCGAGAGCCTCAATGACGATGGAGTGAGCGGAGTTGGGGTTGAAGACCTGCTTGCCGGTGATTTCAGAAGCAATGTTTCCAAAGACACCCGTAATCTTGTCACCCATGCGACCAATGTCACCGACAAGTCGCAGAGGCGTAGCAGAACCGGCGCCCTTGACACCCTTCGCGGCCTTGGCCAAGATCAAGTCGAGACTATCGTTGATAATGTAATCCTCCTCCTCGAACTCGGGGCAGTACATAGGGAAAAGTGTTCGCGAGGCGTCGTAGAGCAGACCAAGCAGGCGGACCTCACGCTTGGACTCCTTGATGCGGAGTGCGAAGGATCGCTGGTGGTAAGAGATACCGATAAGTTGAACAATAGCCTTCTCGCCCAGGTAAACCGCTGATGAGACCATGGTAGCACCAAGAATACGGTACATGGTTACAACCCATGAAACAGCATCGTCGGCAGTGGCGTTGAACAGCTTCTGGAAAGAAACCCAAGAGGCAAGAGCCCAGAAGAATAGGGCGAGAGCGATCTGCAAGTTGGAAAGGACGGTGGCATACTTGCGCACACCAGAGCTAACAACACCGCAGAGAAACATGAATGCATGGGGGAGAATCCAGGCGACAACCTTGCCAGCCCAGAGTGTAAGCCAGGCGATCTCAATCCAGAGGAAGACCTTGAAAAGAGGGGGGCCGTTCTCTCCACCCTGTTTGAGGTCGCTGCCATGACCGGTAAGGGGGAGAACAATCAGAGGGACGGCGAGAAGAAGGCAGATTGGGATGATGTAAATCAGGTAGCGCGAGACGACAGAGGCGTTGGTGATCTTGTTGTACAGTCTGCCCATGGCGTTGACCTTGATATCCGCAGAATCGCCAGTTCCGTGGCGGCCCAGCTCGGCCTTCTTCTTGCGGCGACCGCCCTTGTTGTTGCGGTGGAAAAGGCCATGCTTCTCGTTTGGTGAACCAGCGTCTTCGTTGCTGTTGGCGTTCATGGTGGGCTTGCGCGCACCCGTAGAGGTGGCGCTCTTGACGTTAGTCAAGGGAATCTCGGTTTCAGGCATGTCGTTGGATTGTGTGCCGCCGATAGGTAGAAACCCAGAATGCCGGGGAGAGAGGGGTCCTGGCATGCCGACCTTGGGAGGAGGTGGATGAAATAGGTGATGTCCGGACCGAGGGAGCAGTAGGAATGCTCAGTGTATAACGTAAATCGGTGGACGTCGAACGGTCCACTGGGTTGTACAGATGCTGTGTATTAACGCATATGGTGACTGGATATCGAATCCGTCTGGTTGATAGTAAAACAATTGGGACTTCGTAGGACTCGGGAAAGTGGAAAAGGCCGTTTGAACCAGACAAACGATCGAGTTTGGTTCTACACGCACGAGGTCGGCGCGTGTTCAGGTGGTAGGGGAGGCGTCAGTGTAGCCCTTTCGTATACGGTAACAACAAGCCCAATTCCCCAAAGCGAAAGTAATTACAAGGAAAAGGGTATCGTATGGGGGGAGGGAGGATTGGTGAGGAGAGGTAGAGTAGATCGAGAGGAGAGAGAAAAGAGGTCGGAGCAAGGAGTGGTCGAGTTCAAAAGAACGTGAGGAGGGGAAGCATTTCAGGGTTTAAGCGAAGGCGAGCGAGAGGAAAAGAATGACGGTAAGGTTGGTTGACGATCTCAGCGCAAGACAGGACGAAAGGGGCCGCCGCCGCTAGAGCGCGTTAGTGGAGGGACGGAGGCTTGGAGCGTGTGCAGCTTGGCAGACCCCTGAACTTTTTTTTTTTTTTTTCCCTTTCCCTCCTTCCACTCTGCAGACAGTCTTCCAGGTCCTGGTTCTACGAGCACGAGGAGAAGACCTGGGCGGTACGGATACACTCACACACGGTAGGTACGTACCTGTGTCTGCGGGACTGGGAATTTTAGCGACAACGACGACTGCCAGGGACCCAGCGTGGGAGCAGAAATTGACCAGAAATGGCAGGCTCGGTGCTGCAAGGCCTGCAAGGCGGGTTGGCAGCTTTGATGCAGGGGGCAAGCCACTGACAGACGAGTTTCAGAAGCCCCGGGACGAATGCTGGGATTGGCCGGTGCCGATACTGGCGTCCCCGATTCTGGGTGGACGGTCTGTGGGGCTCTCTGGGGTACGTACCTCAGCTCAGCGAACGTACCTTTTTCTTCAGGTGGGCCTCGAGATGCCGTGCTCCCCGATCCAACTCTTGGTCTTGCTCTGCCTGCCATTCGCCTGCTCACTGCACATGAAGTAGGTAAGGTAATTATCAAGGACCAAGGCCAGGAATGGGATGCCATTGGTAGGCCCCTCGAGATTGTTGACATTTGATCTCTCGAGAACCGTGCAGTGCCGCCTGCCCGACAAGGTGGGAAGACGCGTTGCGGTTGCATACCTTTCGATTGCATGCTGCTCAAGGTTGGTGGTGGTGTTGTTACGGCATAGGCCGCCACTTGACACCACCCAACAATCCGAACTTTGGCAACTCTGATAGCAAAGTTGGAGCACACACACACCCTGACAGCCAGTTACGCAGTAATTAGCTGCCGCGGCTTTCTCTACCGTCCGCCTCCATTACCTGGGCTGACAGAGCTCCCGTACATCAGACGCTGCATGAACGCAGTCCTCAGAAGAAGCTTGGCTTTCCCTCTGGAGACCGGGACGGGGACGATGTTACACTTTTTCGGCGATTAGATGCCGCCCTCATTTATCAGTCTGGAGTCTTTTACTGTGTAATTCCTAGGCACAAGATGAAGATTGCAACTCTGGCATGTGGACGCGAAACAGGACGGGCTTTTAGCATAGTCTTGTTTAATGAGTCGGCGGCGTAGAGAGCGTGTAACCCATGTCTCCATGCACGCCTCCATCAGTCGTTTCTTGTTCCTTAATATCACCACATATGTTCCAGGGACCAGACGTCTGCTGCCGGCAGTCTGAAGGCCCCATGTCCAGTTTTGGAGTGAGCTGAGAGCCGGAGCCCTTCCAGACTCCAGTTGCAATTGAATTGAGAGGGACCCTCGGCCTCCAGGTTCCCAGCTTCTCTGCGCGTTCCTTGCCTTCCTTGACTCTGTCCCTCGGTGGCCCCTTGCTCGTACAGCCGCATCGTTCCTACTTTGAGTCGTAGCGCGTACGGGGCCCCCAGTCCTCTGCAATCCGCTGACCACTCAGCCCTCAGGGAACGCAAGTTGGTGCATTTGCCCTGGTTTGGCCCGCTACCGCAGTAAGGTATCCCAGTGGCATTCACTGGTATCCAGTGGTATTCAGTGGCATCCAATGGCGGTATCCTCTGCGAGTGATGACGAGTCGCCTCGCGCCGCCTTCCAATAGACGACTATCACCTCAACCGTGTGCCCACCGCAGCGGAGTGTTAGAAGCTTAACCTTTCCCTTTTTCCTTGCGTGGATCATTCCCAACACAGGGCAGTGAGCGTGCCCTTCGTATCATTTTCACTCAGATCTGGCCAACTCTTTTCCTCGATCCAGGAATAAATCGCACCAAGCACGTACCAGCCCCGAGTCCAAGTTGCCAACTCTCACCAGAACATATTCCCGCTCCACTTCTGCTAGGTAGCCGGGTGGAATACGAGCCTTGGAGGAATGGAGAGAGAGCGCCCTTGAGGCTAGAGTTTTTTTTGCTTCCAAGATAATTCACGTCCGCCGCCTTCGGCAGTCATGGCAGTCGTGGCAGTTGGCGGTGGACATATGTCGCGACCTTGCAGTGGCATGTTTGTCGTTGACAGCATCTGGAGGCATCATCCATCTAGCGCATGATGATGTCGCCCACATCCAGCCCTTCCGACCTCTTGGAACCGATTTCCTCTCCCCATCTGGAGACGACTTGTCCACATTTCTTGGCACGGTCGCTCATCCACTGTCCACGGTACCCTTCCACGCCTTCACGTCTCCTCCGGGCCCTCCAGCCCTCTCTTCCTGGAGTCCTAAGGTCCTCCGCCTGCTTCCTGGCATACCGTCGCCGGTCCAGCCCGTCTTCGACAATAATGCCGACCCCGTCTTCCCAAATTTGGCCCTATGCCGGACCAACCTTCTTCTTGACACTTCACCCTTCACCAGTGACCACACACGACACAACTCCAAACCTGCCCACAAGCCGTCGTCTCTGTTTCGTTTCCGCCCGCCGCTTCATATGCCGTTAGCATCAAGCCACCCGCCCGCCCACTGTCCCAGTCTTGCCCTCCGCCGTTTCTCGTCTGCCCATCTCGCCATCTTCCATCTCCCGAGAATCTCCCAAATTCTTCCTTCTCCAAGCCCCATCCCCGCCCCCTGCGGCCGAGCGGAGCCCTACAAGGACAGGAGAGAGACAGACTGTCACAGGAGCTGGCTGCACCGCGCGTTCAAGTCTGGACCGTCTGGACTGCTCCATGGCCCCTGCTTGCTTGCTTGCTTTCCTCGATTGCCTGCTTCAGCCTTCAACAGGCCACTCAATCCTGCATCCATCGAATTAAGCAATTAATCGATATCCCCTCTGTTTCCGACATTGCGGCTCACAAGGTTTTCTCACAATAACAAACAATTGGCCACTCGCGTCTCCAAAAAAAGAACGCGCCGTCGTCGCCGCCGCGTCTTTCGGACCCGGTGGCCTGTCACTCGCCTCCCTCGGCGCCTTTTTCTTCTTCTCGTACTATCCGTAGTCTCGTAGAGAGCAGAGCGCCAACGAACCCGTCCTAACCCAAAGCCGTCGTCAATGCCAGCCTCCTGCCCTCCCCCCCGTTCCCGCGGCACACGGCAGCCCAGCAGCCGGCGCCTCCAACGGCGTCTCTTTAGCCCGACGTTGGCTTCATTACGGTTCGCGCCAGTGGCGACCAATGACACAACTGCTTCCCTCAGCTTCACCAAGAACGGTTGCCAGACCCGACTGATCATCAGAGACACATCTCAGACCGCGCCTTACCACCGCGGGTACCTGACGAAAAAAGCAAGCGCTAGAGATTTGCAGGTGCATCAGAATGTTCTCAGTCTCAGGCACTAAGCCACAAACAGGAGGGGGGGAGAACTCTCACATCTCAATCCCGCACAACGCACAAACTTGTCATCTCTTCTTCTGCTGCTTCCTCCCGCGCAAAGCGTTCCCCCTCCCGCTGTGACTCTTGATTTTGTCATTGTGCCCATATAATGGGATTCTCCAACCCCGCAACAGAGTGCCACGTCTCATATGCTCGACAATCTGCAACCGGAGCCGAACCTGGGAAGAGAGAGCCGCTGATCAGATCGGCAGCCCGAGAGTGAATATCATTAACAATCGACCGCCTCAAACTGGCATTGCTGGGTGGGGGATTCGGCGCTAGACTCAACACGAGGCGAGCAGGAATCTCGATTTGGCACAGTTCGCGGCAACACGGGAACGCCCTCAAAAACTTTCTTCCCTCCTTCTATTGCCTGCGTATCTGCCCATCCACCCCCTTAGAAGCTTAGCTGCCGTTATCCTCGTGTCCAAGTGCGGAATTCTCTGGGTGTTGCTCTCAAACCCCCCTATTGTGCCCACGCGACGGCGGCCGTCGACCGATCCCACGCTTCGGAAGGAAGGAGGGGGGGCGTGAGGAAAACGCGGGACCTACGTACGTCAATTGACGCAACGCCCCCGCCCCGGCGCGGTGAAAGCCCCGTCCCCTAAGAGCCGCCGTCTCGCGCCGGCTCGGATGATCACTGAGACTTTTTCACGACCCCTGATGCAGATTCGTCAAGAGACATGTGCGCGAAGGAATCGTGAAGCGGGCCCTGCCTGGGTGGCGGCGGGTTGGGTTCTGTCTGTCCCCATGGGATGAACACCACATTCTTTCAAACATGGTTGAGGCCCACGATTCGTGAAGATGAGCGGGGCAGCTGAAATGCAAGTCATTCTTTACGAAGGGGCGAAAAAAAAACAAAGGTGAGGTAGCATCCATCATCGGCGGTGTAATCGGAGATACTCTACCGTTGTGATGTTTCCGTTGATTAACGAACGGGTTGTGGGCGAGGTCCGGGGGACAACACGGCACGGCACTGCCAGCAATCAATGAACCCCTACTTTTCGGTCGCGATCCACATGGCACGGTAAACTCGACGACGATTACGTAGCTACGCGGCGTGTACATACTATACACGCTCTTTACCACATCCATCTCTCTCAGCCTCAATTGGTATCTCCCCGCTATCCCTCCCCCCGGTACATCCGATCGGGAAGCTCTTCCGGTTGCAATGACATGACGATTCCAAAGTGACGTACGCATTGTATATTCCGTGTTTACGAGACACAACCAAACTTACGAGGTGTCGTGCTTCTTGTCCCGCATCTCGACCTGCGCCTTGTCGTCGTCGTCGGCGGCGGCGTGGTGGTCCTCGTGCGTAAGGTCGAACTTGTACAGCGGCTCGAGGGTGGCGTCGCGCTGCCAGAGAACCCAGCGCTTGAACCAGTACGGCAGGGCCTTGGTGACCTGGTGCCGCATGAAGAGCTTTGTCGGGACCGCGAAGACGTAGTCGAGCTCTTCGAGCGTTCTCTGCTTGGTTTCGGGGACCCAGAAGAACTGGTGGTATGTCAGTTGGTTGCTCAGCTTGCAGGAGGAGAACGTTTACAATCATGACGAATGCAATCACATTCAGCCCGGCATAAAAGCAGAAAGAGCCGAGGACGCCGAGGTCTGCTAACATGATTGGAAAGGAAATCGAGAGCACGGCGGCCCAGAAGAGGCATGTTGCCACGGCCCACGCCATGCCGACTTCACGATGCGACAAAGGGAAATTTCCGAGGAGTACGTGAAAGGAACCGGGCCCTCGCCAGGAGAGTAGAAAGCTGGTTATCATGTTAGTCCTTGGTTCTCAAGATGATGCTGGTGGACCTACCGGCGAAGAGGTATACGAAGAGAGCCACAAGCCCCAAGTGAACACCACCGGTGCCAGGGATAAGGGTACAGAGACCAGCCGCCAGCAACGTCCACGCCATCATGGGAAATGTCCCTAGCAAGAGACTGCGACGGCCAAAGGTGTCGATGGTCCAGATGGCAGGCCAGGCGAAGAGGAAGTTGACCATGCCAAAGCCGAACGAGGCGAGGAGGGCGTTGAACTCGGATGTGCCCGCCTCCTTGAAGATTGTCGACGAGTAGAAGGCAATGATGTTTATTCCTGTTCTTTTATCAGTTTCATGTTTCAGACGAAGAGTGTTACATACCACACATCTGCTGGGCAATCATGACGGTGAACGAAGCCAACGTGGCTCTATATCAACCATGTCAGTTTCTTTTCATTCTTCAACTTTAGAAGAGCTTCGTAACTCACCGCCTGACACGGGGAATTGTAAACAGCTCAACAAATCGCTTGGCATAGTTGGATCGTCCAATGATCTCGGCCTCGACCTGAAGTTGGATATGAATGTAGTATATGTCCCGAGCCGCCTGGATCGGGTGGTTCCGCAAGCGAAGCAGTGATTTCATCGCGTTTGCGTACTGATTCTTCTTGATATACCAACGGGGAGATTCAGGGCATGCGTATATGAGCAGAGCAAGTGGGACAGCAGGGATGAAGGCAGAGCCAAGTTGCAACCGCCATGCTATATCTCCCACTTTACCAACAGCTAAATTAGCCGCCGTTCCAGCCAGGATCCCGAAGGCTGTCCACATTTGCCAGCTCATTACGAGGGCTCCTCGAATAGGTGCTATTAAATTAGCCTTGATTTGTTGTCTAGAGGCCGTTTTATGGCATACCAGGCGAGTTCTCGGCAGCGAAGATGGGGACGGTGCTGGCCTTTGCGCCCATACCGATACCGAGAAGAAGACGACAAGCCAAAAGCTGTTCCCATGTCTGAGAAATGCAGCTCCAATTACAGGCTTGTATTGTCAGTTTGTTGTGGCGGAAATGGGGAGTTGGCTACATACCCAAATGCAAAAGTTGGCGGCGAAGAAGATTGTTCCGCGACGACCGACCCAGTTGTTCAATGGATCGGAGAGCCAGCAGCCGATGAACGCCGAGCCTGGAAGTGTCAATTTTAAAATCGTTAACGTTCAACGTCGTCTTTGAGTCTTACCGATGTATGGCGCTGAGTTGACTAGACCAACCTAGACCCCACGTCAGTCCTTCGCCTGTACTCCATTTTAACATTGTTTCTTACAAGAAGAGTATCATGATGCGAGTTTGATCCAATGCCAAACACTGTGGGAAAAGACAGGTTGGCGCCGTTACTTCCCGTCTGATCCCAACCCTGTACAGCAGCGCCGATGGAGCAGGTGATAATAGTGAGGTAGAGAATCTTGGGAATGCGCCACTTGTGCAGAACCTCGTCGCGCAACACTTGGATCTCGTCCGGTTCGAGAGCCTCGGTGCCGTCTATCTCTTCGTAGCCGGTGGGGTCTTGGGCGACCAAAGCGCCCTTTTTAAGCATGGGGAGGTACTCGTCGAGACCTTTGTCGCGGGCGAAGTGTTCGACACCGCGGAGGAGCTCGCTACGGTTGATTCCGAGCAGAGGGTTCTTGATCCTGAGCGGAGGTCAGTAAGGTATATACTGGAGAGGGATTCCTTCAAAGGTACAGACTTGGCTTCTTTGTTGTCGTTCAGGTCTACGGTTGCTTGGGACCCTCGGCGGGCCTTTTCAATGTTCGACACCTCGACGCCGGCCGATCTAGTCTTGTTAGTCAATGAATTTTGTGAAGGATGAGATTCTCTTACGGGTCGGCTCCGCCAGCGCGTTTCTCATCCGCCATTATTGCGACGAGATGAGTATATCCAACTACTCAGTATCTCGAGGGTCGGTGTGAGTGGCAGTCGCCAGTGCCTATGGAATGATTATTCCGATCTCTTGCTTAACCAAGTGAACGTAACACTCGCCAAAGCAGTCGCGCTCGAGATGTAGGGGACTGTGCAACCACTCAAATTCAATACAAGATGGAAATGGGATGGGCACTCCTTACTATACGTAGATGGCACAGACATTCATCCCACGTCGCTGGGTATGAGACCGGCGCAACCACCTTCCCCCGCAAATCCATTGGCATCCTATTGGGGCGCCATTGGGAACACCAAGCATTCCCAGATGGGTCCGCTGGGGTTGGTGACAGGGAGCTGGTCTCTTCCTTCGGATGGTAGACTGCTTAGACCGCTCAAGTGCGGAGAACTGCTTTCACCAGAGTCTGTCGGTACAGTTGTTTTCCACAGCTAGACTACTTGCGAGAGCGAATACACGGGTCTAGCTACTGTCGACCTCATACGATGTTGGTGTCGTTGATACAATGTAACAATGCTCCACCGAGGTGCGTAAGTTGGATAGATCCCAAAGACATCGACCGTTCGTAGACCTCGCCTGCAAGCCGGCGCCCATGTCTTTGTTATCGTTCCTCCCAAAGAAGATGAGCATACAGTGATATCAGCTGTAGATAATTTAGCACGAATTCAAAGCAGAGTGATTCCTCATGAAATAGCCCAAGGCATAAATAAGGATAGCCGTCCGAATGGTTCTGACCGTTATGCTGATGTTGGTCTCGTCTTCTTCCGCTTAACCGTTTCCCCAGACTTCCCCAGGACGAGCACGCTCCGGCTCTAGCACCTTACATACCCACTCACAGACAGACGTTACAGACCACGTCCGTGTCGTGCATTGCAGGAATCCCTGGCCAAACTCTGGACACTAATCAAAACGGGGAGCCAATAAGACAAGTACCGTCAGAAGTACAATGTCCCCCGGAAAACTCAGCCAGCTGATGCGGTGTCACGACGGCTGTCATTGCCCTGGCAAGCGCATGCGGTTAGGGGAATGGCGGTCCCAGGATGAACAGGTGCCAATCGTACCATGTTTGCAGAAAAGCTCTACGACTGTGGTCGATTGCCAGAGGCGTTTCTGGGGTGTGGATTGTTCATTCTGCGGAACATTTGACTACTCAGCTAGATGGCTTCGGGGAAATATCGAAGCCAAGACATACAAGAGATCTCCTAGATCCAGCCAAGACTGACGATATTTTATCCCGGCTGTGGTAACGCGCCTCTCGTCGCATCCCGATTTTGATGGAAAGCTGATTTTATAGCATTCCTGGCAGTTGGAAGCGGAGAATGGCCGTGGACGAGGGTCTAAATGCAAACCGAGTTTGCACGACCGGGGTTGACCTTCCTCTTCTCATTTGACGCCCGCATGACGACGTCACTGGTTCTCGACAATACCCTTTCCATTGGTCTTTACGAAGATCCATGGTTCTTCTGGCTCCACCTGCAAGCCGACCTGGGCGAATATTCTAGGTACGCAGTAGAGACTATGCGTTATTATACCCGTTGTCGAGCTTCGGCTCAATGGATTGGAGATGGATGGAAATAGCCACTCGCTGATTTCAGACATAGCTCCAAATTTCTCGTGCGTCGTAAGCCGTCTCCTTGAGATACTCACCGCAGTGATCCGTCATAGAAGCTGTCGCAAGGATGAGTTCGGCAGATGGCCAAGACGTTCCATTGAAGGAGCCTGCAAAGTGCCTAGAAATGCCGTGAGGCTGCCAAGCCTCTAAAAGGCTTGTCTCTTCGCCGCAAAGCTTGTAGTTCTCGGGGCATCAAACCGACACTTTCCTCGATGGCTCTTCCATTGGCCGCTGCCTGGACTTTTGTGCTTGCTACAAGCCCTGGCCGGTCCCATGACCAGTGTCGTCTCAGGCTTTCTTGGTCCTCGGCCAACTTCCCGGTCGACGGTCGATATCGAGTCCTGAGTCGTGTCATCTTGGGTCCAGGGAAGTAGGAATGAAGTGCAGCTAGCCAATGAAGTGTTTTCCTTGCCTCCCCACTGGACCCTCAACCTCCCCGCGGGGGACACTTGCAGTTCGTCGCAGTTCCAATTTCTCCAACTACCGTCATAACTTGTCAGAATGAGAATCCGCTGACCCCCTGCACACTGGGTATGCATTGGCCCAATCATTACTAACAGAACTACTTCCCCGAAACCCACCAACCAAAGCCTTGTCGACAAGGGTTCAGCGGATTCTCATTCTGACAAGTTATGACAGTACTCGTCCCCTCGCGGGGGCTCCGCTGTCGGCGGACCTGGTGCGCAATCACTGACAACGACTTACCCCGGATCGTGCCGAACACATATGAATCCTGGGTATCGAAATTTTCAAAGTGGCACGCCATTCACGAAGATAGTCCCATTTGGCAACATCGTTCCTGTCTTGCCTTAAAAAAGTCGTGTTGAGCTTCGGAAGAGCCGGCTGCCTGTCTAGCCCTGCTTTGCCTTGCACACCATTCCCATTTACTATCTCGTTCACTATATAGTGATGAAACCCAGATCCATGACTTTGCGAGGTCGATTGATGAAGTAGAGTTCACTGAGGATGAGAAGACTTAGCGGACCACTCGCAGACAGTGTTGGAAGAAACATACCTGGGTGTTCGTGTGATTATTCAACGATGGGTCCTCCTCGGCAATGTCAGGGTTGCTACGCATACATTAGCGCCATATTTCTTTCCCAATAATCTGTGTGAATGACTTACGTCAGTCCCGGGCATCTCGTTCTTTTTGGTGTGCTAGTGTCCAGACTCGTCAGTTCCCGATCCATACTACGTTGACACTGTGAGATGCATGTAGGCTGCGAGCAGTATGGACATGTAAGACGTGCAAGGGGCGTGGAAGAGGACGGCGAAGAACACCGCATGTTGAATAAGAGGAGCAGTCAAGCTGATGGTGATCAAACGTACGTGGTAGCTCTGGACCGAAGGGCACCGGCGAAACCTAGGCGCCCTTGTGGGCGCGCTTCTTGGTCTTCATCTTGGCGGGCTTCTCAGCGAGCTTCTTGGCGGCCTCCTCTGCGGCGTTGTCGGCGGCGGCCTGGGCGACTATGCATGGTTAGCGAAGGAACACACGACAGAGGCACAATACTGACTGAGAGCGCGGACTTCGTCGTCCGTAAGAGGTGGTGAGAGCACGGGGAGGAAGGGAGCACCAAAGTGGTCACCAGCAAGAATGCTCATTTTGAAAGATTCACAGTGTTGTGATTCTCAGAAAACCTCTCAACTCTTCCTCTCTAGAAGGAAATCTTTTGTGGGGACCACACGGCAACATCTGGCGCGGCCCCCTTAAGGAAGGAGTTGCCAGGCTGCTTCCTTCTCATCTGAGTATTACCCCCGAAGTCCAGCGACCCAGGCCTATGACGCCCATGGACTGTAGGTAGCAGCTCTTAAAAGCCGTGTATCTACTATCCAGCGCCAGCATCTCAAATACTAACCACTGGAGCCTGTCTAGGAAGCCTAAGTTAATGGTGGAGGATTATCGACTGTCCTGAGACATGGGTCTGGACTGAGCATGGAAGTTGGGCCTCTATTGATGTGGATATGATTACCAAGAACCACGACTATGACCATATTTACGTGAGTCGGGTAGCAAGGCAAGAGATTTGAAACATCGCCTGCCTTCGGCATCTACTCGGCCAAGAAATCGAACGACGGGCTGCACATCGTCGAAGCTCACATCGCTGGTGTGGGTTTTACAGAACGATCGAGCCGCCCACATTAGCAAAACTACCTCGGAGACGAGGACGACAGTGACAGGGACGACACTGATAATAACAGCATCGGAAATGAACACACTTCATGAGTAGAATCCATTCATAATTCTACAAAACTATGATAAGAAATTGAGGAGGGTATCAACCGCCGGTTCTGTTATAATCCCAGCTCGTCGGGTCAATTCAGTTGCTTATGTATCTCCGCCAGATGTAAGGTTGTTTAGTAGTTGTGCTTGAGCACCTTCTTCAAGCCTGCAATCTCCTTTTCGAACTGCGTAATCTTGGCCTGGCTGCCCTCAATCTTGTCGAGGAGGTAGGATACGCGTGAGCCCGTCTGAGAAGGCTGCTTCGGCAGGCTACCCAACAGGGCCAACTCACCCTCGGCCTTCTCAATGGTCTTGGCCTCAACCTTGGCTAGCTCCTTCAAGAGAGCAAGGTCCATCTTGGCCCTGAGGACGCGGTCCTCGAGAAGCATGCTGAAGGCAGCCTGGTACATGGGCTTGCCAGGACGGATGGTCTGCGGGCGGCCGTTGTAGGTCTCAACGGTGATTAGGTCGGCGTTGGTAAGGCCCTCCAGTGCGGACTCTCCATTTGCAGCACCAGGCGTGGTCGACGAACCGAACGTGTCCGAGAGAAGGACCTCGTTGTAGCGAAGAGCATCATGCGAGGCGAGAGCCTTGATAAGATACCACGCCTGCTCGGTAGACCACTTCTTGCCCTCGACAGAGTCCTTGCCGCCCAAGAGGTACATCTTGACGATTTCGGTTGCGCTCTGGTTGATGATGTCCTCTACGGCCTTTTGGGGGCTTTGTCGGCCCTTCAGACGTCGAGCCAGGTTCTCAAGGTCGGTGAGTCGACCGCCCAGGATACCGATGGCAGCATCGAGCTCGGAAAGATCAGGTTTCACCTCTGCCTGTACTGGGACTTTGCCTTCTTTTTCTTGCTGTGCCTCGGTCGAGTGCTCCCGCACCTTCTCGAGCTCGTCCTCTTCCAGGCGGCTGATGACGAACTTCTTGGCGACGTCAGGAGAGAGATCACCCAAAGCAGCGTGGCGGAAAACTCGGTCTGGCATAGCTTTGGACAGAGACTTGGAGTATGCCGTATCGTCCGTCAAGAAGATGACATGGGCGACGTTGTTCTGAACCATCATGGCAGCCCATTCAGCGACCTTGTCGTATACAATGCTGGATTCGTTCTTGTGCAGGAAGTTGTCGATGACAACCACAGCGCGCTTATCGGGGTGTGCTTCCAGCCAAGCGTCCTCGGACAGATCGGCATCTTTGCCATCCTTGTGGCGCCCAGCCAATGAGACTTCCTTGAGAGCTTCCGCGGTCGTATGCAAGATCTTGACTACCTGCGACTCGAGAGTCTCAGAGAATCCGGCCTTGACTCCAGTAGTGCTTTGAACCGCGAGATCGATCATGCTGCTCATGCTATTGAGGAACGCGAAGACAGGCTTGTATCCCACCGCGTTGGCGAGGCGCTTGATGGTGCCGCTCTCGCCTCTGGCTTCGGTGATGGGTTTGCAGTCAATAACAAGAACATTCTTACGATCCTTGAGGGCTTGATCCATAACAAGCTCCTTCTTGCCCGATCCTCGAGGACCCTGGACGACAACGAAGGTGTCAGAACTTTCCAGCAACCAGGTTTGGATCTGTTCAATCAGGTCTCGTCGATGCTGCCAAACGGCGTTGAAGCTAGCCTTGTCGGTCTTCTTGCGTGCGAAGGAAGAGATGATGTCGGAGGTCTGGCTCTTGACCCATTTGTAGAATTTGTTGTCTGATAACCGGAAAGAGTGTTGGATGTGGGCCTTGACGAAGAACTCGCGGATGGGGTCGAAGACGGCGACGGTGATGGCGGCCAAGAGAGCAGCTACAACAGGAATGACGATTCTGGGGTGGTTGGAGAGCCAGTTCCAGATGTTGTGTGGCTTGACCTTTTGCTCATATGACAGACGAAGTTTTGTACCGTTTTTGCCTCCGCCGAGAGCTTCACCGACGACGTAGCCGTGCAGACAGTTTCTGGCCATGATGGCGTCGCGGACGAGTGAAAAGTCGATGTACGCATACTTGGGCAGGACCTTGGAGTCGGAAGGCTGGGACGTGATCTCTGCAATCTTGCCATATTTGCGGAATATGCTGTAAATGTCCTCTTGCGAAAGCTCGACAGCTTCTCCGCCAGCATCTTTTCCAGTGAACTCGATCTTGATGCGGCTCTTTGGGAACCGCAAGAGGTCTTCAAGCCAGGGAACACCTCTTACAAGTCCAGCTCGAACTCCGCGGAAGGGATTGAACCAAGGGCGGATGGGGTTCTTTTCTAGCGTTCGTGCGAGGGAGTCTAGTCGGCATGTTAGACTTGTTCCAATAGAGGAGCTTCTGTTCAAGTCTTCTACTCACTCTCGACATCTTTTGGCTGCACATCTGATCCATGACTGAACTTGACGTAAACTCCACCGTCTTTAAACCGGGGCAGGATCTCTGTGATCTTGATGGGTAGGTCGTCGGGTATAGCTCGCTTCACCAAGCCGATTGGATCACCGACTCCAAAGCTCGAGCTCTCGAAGCGCTGCAGAAGGTCTCCAAAATCTTTGTCTGACTGCCAGGCTCGTGATCGAAGGAGGTGAGTGAGTTTCAGGGGGAAGAGGTCTGCAACGGAGATCAGCCCATTATCCCACAGTCCATGCTAATACCAGCAGCGTAGTAGGACGGTGAATGTGTCCCAATGGGGGGTCGGAAAACTTACTGTCCAAGAAGAGAATCGACTCGCTCTGGGAGGTTGAAATGTGCCCAGACTTCTCGTCGCCCGTCGAAGTACTCTCCCATGCCCTTGTCGTGTGCACGATCGAGCCCTGCAACTGGAACTGGGGTCGAGCGAATGGCCGAGCAGGGACCCATGTCTGTCTGGCTGCCCGGCCAGAGCGAAACATCGCTCTGCTGGATAACATCGCCGGTGCCGTTGGGATATTCACATGGTACTCTGAGAAGCGATGAAGAGGAAGGAAGGGAAGCTGGAAATTCAAGCTGTGCGAAATGTGAGCTACTTTTCCTTAGCTCCCCACGAGCGCTTCACGCGTGGAATGATATCATTGCTCCGAGTCCCACTGCCAAGGGCTAGCTGGACCATGTCCCCCGTCCGTCGCTTGTCCCCCGCCATAACCTTATTCGGCGCTGAACAGCCCCGGAAACACCATCATCCGCACCGACATGCCCCACTAGAGCACTTGCAGCACGGGAAAAATAATGCAAGCACTCATTGGCCCGGCGCGCTGTCTGGGAGGTCATCGAAGGGTAGTGATAGCCGGCTCCCCCTCATTCTTAGGCGCTTCATGAACTGATCGAGACGACAAGACTTAAGACTTGGAATTCTTTCTATTCATAAACTATTTTACTTCTCTAACCCGTCAAAATGGGTTGGCTCTGGGCTTCGCCGTCTCCCCCCAAGTCTCCCGCGCCGGGACAAGCTTCCCAAGCTCCCGCGTCGACCCCGCCATCATCGAGTACAGCGTCGAATGATTCCGACATTGACCCCGAGATCCAGAAGTTCATTGCCATGTTCCAGTCAGAGGGCAAGCAGGAAGAGCCAGCAGCTCCCCAGCCGACACCATCTTCATCAACGGCGCCCTCCAAATCGTCATCATCCACGTCCTCATGGTTCTCACTCAAGTCCTCCCCCAACTCCCCCTCACAAACCAACAACCGCACGATCACGCCACCCGCCGACCCCAATTCTGTCTCCGAAACCCTCCTCCCAACAGAGATGTCCTGCCGCCAGGCCTTCGACATGGCCTTCCACTGCCAGTCCGTCGGCGGCCAGTGGAACCACATCTACCGATACGGCACGATGCGATCATGCAGCGAACACTGGGAGGACTTTTGGTTCTGCATGAGGATCAAGAGTTACACAGGAACGATGAAGGAGGAGGCAATAAAGGCGCACTACCGCCAGAAGGAGCACGACAAGTATGGTGATGGCAAGCCGAACAGTGAGGATATTTGGCAGGCGAGGACAACCAAGGTCCCGCCGGGCACAGCCTTTACGGAGAAGTTTGAGGAGCCGACACTCGACGACGAGGAATGGCAAAGTATGGAGATGGATAGGCGACGTCAAATCAGGACGGGTCTGGGCATTGAAGGAGCATCTGCATGAATCATTGGCGTGTAAGAATTGGTGACATCTTTTTCTGGTAATGTTTTATGTAGAAATCCACTCATTCAATCACCACTGCGGAATAAATCATCGTGACTACTGCACCGACTCCAGACTCCGCCATTGAACCAGTGTTGAGCTAAACTCAACTCAATGCAAATAAGGTAGTCAGTCAATGGTAGTCAGAATTTTTCAACGCACATTGCAAGTGGCACTCAAAGTTATTTAACGTTCTTGTATTAGGCGTCCTGAACCTGGAGGCCGAACTAGAGTACATCTGATCCCATGCGTAACCGTGCTTTTCCCATCGTGATTTCATAAATGCAAAGAAAGCAAAAGTCTAGTCGTGAAACCCAGTGACAACCACCATGTTGTCACACCCAAGACTGCGATTCTAAGGAAAGAAGATCTCATCAAGGGTATCAATTTAGTCAACCTCCTCGACGGTGGGGCCGTCGTCGTGGTTGCCGGGGGGAGCGCCGCCGGGAGCACCGGGGAAGCCACCAGGGGCACCGCCAGGGGGACCACCGGCAGAGCCGTAGAACTTCATCATGATGGGGTTGGCAATACCCTCAAGCTCCTTCTGGCGGTCCTCGTACTCCTCGCGAGTAGCCTGCTGGTTCTCGTCGAGCCAGGTGACGACCTTGTCAATCTCGGCCTTGAGCTTCTCCTTGTCGTCGGCGTCAAGCTTCTCGTCGACCTTGGAGTCGGAGAGAGTGTTGCGGAGAGAGTAGGCGTAAGACTCAAGACCGTTCTTGGCAGCGACACGCTGGCCCTCGGCCTCATCCTCATCCTTGTACTTCTCGGCCTCAGCAAGCATGCGCTCGATCTCCTCCTTGGACAGGCGGCCCTTGTCGTTGGTGATGACGATCTTGTTGGACTTGCCAGTGCCCTTCTCGACGGCGGAGACGTTCATGATACCGTTGGCGTCGACATCGAAGGTAACCTCGATCTGGGGAACGCCACGGGGAGCGGGGGGGATACCGGTAAGCTCGAACTTGCCGAGAAGGTTGTTGTCCTTGGTGCGCTGACGCTCACCCTCGTAGACCTGGATAAGGACACCAGGCTGGTTGTCGGAGAAGGTAGAGAAGACCTCAGACTTCTTGGTAGGGATAGTGGTGTTGCGGGGAATGAGCTTGGTCATCATGCCACCGGCAGTCTCGATACCGAGGGAAAGAGGGGCAACGTCGAGAAGCAGGATCTCGTTGGTGGACTTGGAAGAAGTGTCACCAGACAGGATGGCAGCCTGGACAGCGGCACCGTAGGCAACAGCCTCATCGGGGTTGATGGACTTGTTGGGCTCCTTGCCGTTGAAGTAGTCGGAGATGAGCTTCTGGATGCGGGGGATACGGGTGGAACCGCCGACCAGGACGATCTCGTGGACGAGGGACTTGTCGATCTTGGCGTCGGACAGGACGCGGTCGACGGGCTGGATGGTGGAGCGGAAGAGGTCCTGGCAGAGCTCCTCGAACCGGGCACGAGTGATGGAGGTGTAGAAGTCGATACCCTCGAACAGGGAGTCGATCTCAATGGAGGTCTGGGCGGACGAGGACAGGGTGCGCTTGGCACGCTCGCAAGCGGTGCGGAGACGGCGGAGAGCACGAGCGTTGGAGGACAGGTCCTTCTTGTGCTTGCGCTTGAACTCGTTGACGAAGTGGTTGACGAGACGGTTGTCGAAGTCCTCACCACCCAAGTGGGTGTCACCAGCAGTAGACTTGACCTCGAAGATACCCTCCTCAATAGTCAGGAGAGACACATCGAAAGTGCCACCACCGAGATCGAAGATGAGGACGTTGCGCTCACCCTCAGCCTTCTTGTCAAGGCCGTAGGCGATGGCAGCGGCGGTAGGCTCGTTGATGATACGGAGGACGTTGAGGCCGGCAATGAGACCAGCGTCCTTGGTGGCCTGACGCTGAGAGTCGTTGAAGTAGGCGGGGACGGTGATGACGGCGTTGGTGACCTGGCCACCAAGGTAGGCCTCAGCAGTCTCGCGCATCTTGGTGAGGACCATGGCGGAGATCTCCTCGGGGGTGAAGGTCTTGGTCTCGCCCTTGAACTCAACCTCGATGACGGGCTTGCTGTTCTTGTCGACGACCTTGAAGGGGAAGTGCTTCATATCGGCCTGAACCTCAGAGTCGTTGAACTTGCGACCAATCAGACGCTTGGCGTCGAAGACGGTGTTGTGGGGGTTCATGGCGACCTGGTTCTTGGCGGCATCACCAATCAGGCGCTCGGTGTCGTTGAAGGCGACATAGGAAGGGGTGGTGCGGTTACCCTGGTCGTTGGCAATGATCTCGATCTTGTCGTTGGCGACTGTGATAAAAAGTTAGCCCAAAGTCCATACAAATTGCGATAGTCGCGGCCAAGGCCTGCGATTTTTCGGGAAAAAAGGGTTTGCTCACAGAAACCGGTACAACTTTTTGAGACGTTAGCATCCTGTGCAACTCAGAATAAGGAATGGACTCAAGAAAAAATACCTGTAAGTTGTTCCGAGATCGATACCAATAGCCTTGCCGGAAGCCATTGTGAATGTGTGTTGTGGTGATGTGAAGGTGTGGTGTTGTTGTTGCGTGGTGGTGGGGTATCAAAAGAGTCGTGTTCGCGAAGACCGGTTGTGGTGTGTGCCGGTGTAGAAAGTAGCAGCGATCAAGTTCTCGTTGGAAAAAGAGATGCTGGACGCTTCGTTTGGATTGTTGGGGTATTGTTGATGTAGAGGAATGTCGTGAAGAGTGAAAAGTGAAAAGGTCGAAGCGGTTGGTGTTGACTTGGATTTAAAAGGTTGTTGGCAAGAGAGGACGCAAGGCCCCGCAAAACTTCGAAAGGGTTCTTCGCTCTTCCACCTGCTCTCCAATGGTGGGGTAGATCCAAGCGTCCACCAGCTTCGCGGCCCTGCCAGACTGCGCCAGTCCCTTCCAATTGCCTCCAGAAACCGCTGAAATTTTGTACAAGGATCTTTGTTAGTGCGCTTGCAACCCGATTCAGCCTCTTCAGGAGGCGAAAGTCCCAATTTTCCAAGGACTGCACGCTCTTTCCTGCTCTCACGGTGCCTTTGGAAGACGGACAATTCTATGGAAGACTTTCGTTTGAACCCCATTCGTTGACATCATATCCACAAGAAGCTTCTACAATCCTACCCCTGAGGTCTCCAGTACCCCTGCTGCCGCCCCATGCCCGCACTAAACCACGGTACCCTCTACCTTTCCCCTCCAAGTCGTGCCCCTCAGTCAGGTCGAATCCACACCGCTAGTAACTGATGGAAACCTTTTGGAGAGTGATATCATCCCCCGTCAGTGGGGGATTGATTGAGTGGTTCTGCGACTCTTCAAGAAGCATCGAAACTCCGGAGACGACCTGTTGCAGAGCCCAACTGAGAGTTTCCAGCTCCTTCCGCTTATCCATCGCAATTCTCTGGGCCTCCAGGACCACGTAGCCGCCCACCTTGGCGACCCAAGCTGACGGCGACAACAGTCGACCGAAAAAAAGAGGTGGCAGGGATGCCGACATACACATTCACACACAGTTGGCGCCCAAGGGGCTGACATGGCCGAGAGACAACGGAGGCAATGGACCGCAAAGTCAGGCCAGGCGTGCAAGGCAATCCGAGACAGGCAGCGGCCAATCCAGGCAGGTGTGGCTGGCGCCTTCCACAAACGCCCTCAATGTGAGAATCGAGATTTTAGATAGGGGGGCGCTCTGCCTTGGAACCTTGGAATTGCGCCTCGCAAACAGATCGTAAATGAGCACCCGCGGGATCAGGAAAATCCATGGCCATCCATGTCGCACAATCCATCTACTCGTAGCAACCATCATCGGTGTTGGAAATTTTCCATTTTTACCTCAATGGCTCTGCATGCGGTGCGATGAAATTGCATTCTCTTTGTTGCCGGGCAGTCGGGCAACTTTTTTTCTTTCCCCTCCCCCTCTCGTCTCCTTGCATGTGTCCGCCCAGCGACCGCCAGGCAACGATCTGAGAGTGCAGGGCACCTTGCTGTTGCGTGCCCAGCAGCCTTACGCAGCACTCGCAGATGCGGATTACCTAATACAGGGGCGAAACAGGGTGGGCTTGTCCTTGGTCCGTGCTGCAAGATTTTTTTCCGGTGCGGGATGGCGGACGCCCCGGAGTGGGGCCCGCTCCGGCGCTGGATGCTAAACGGAGAGATGACCGGCTGAGAATCTCGCCTAGCAGCGCGGGCAAAAGAAGCTCGCCACTATTTCGAAGGATACCTGCTCTCCGTCGCGTTCCCGAAAGTGGCGTCTCGAGTTCGTTACTCGCCTCTCTCTTCACTGTGAAATGCCGTCTCTATCGTCGTCTCTATCGTCGTCTCCGTCGTCCTGTAGCGTTCGGTGTCCTCGTTACTCAGAAAGTAGTCAAAGCCAAATAATCTAGCCCCCTAATGTTGTAGCTCAGTCGGTGTCAGATGCGGGTATCGTCTAAAATTACCTATCCGAAAGGAAGATCTGGTGATTTGTGACGGCCAACGATAATAGACACTTGCTTGAATGGACCACATAAAGAATCACCAATCAAATCACAAACAGTAGACACGTAAATGAGGAATGCGAAATGTATGTATGATTATGACAACCCAAGCCCTATCTCGTGCCATAGAACCGCTACACCTCGTAAAACCCAAACATGAAAGCCCAATACGCTCATATCACGACATGCCTCCTCATCAGGTGGCCGCTTTTCAGCTTTTCGTCTCAATCCTACAGGTGCACGAAAAAAGAAACAACACCGCAACAATCGGAATCCCATGAGCCATTGAAGGGTATAAAGGCTAAATGGAAGCTTCCGTTGATATGCAAACATCCGCCCAGCTCGCAAAAGTCATTTCGAATAGGAAAACATGAGCACCCGCTCAGGACGTCAAACTCAACCCATAATGGTCGTGTCCTGAGAAGGGCCTGGTGTCCCAGCCATCGCGCTGCTGTTGACTTCGCAGCCCTGGGCGAAGAAGATACGTGCTGGTTGCTCATAGTCATTGTGAATGCTGTAGTAGTTGCCTGAAATCATAGTTAGCAGTGCCACTTGGAGCAGGATTCCAGAAAGGCGGGCTTACCTCTGGGCACAAACCACATTCCACCGGCACCGATTCTGAACTGCGTCTCGTGGACGGTAACCAGGACCTTGCCCTGAAAGACGAAAAATACCATCTGCATCTTTCGCGAGTTCTTAGGCCGCTTCTCCGCGCCGGGCGGAAGGTCGACGACGCCCGAACCGAAGAAAGGCAAGCTAAGCGTCTTTGCGAATCGGAAGGTAGCGTCGCGGATGTCGCGTGTTTGAATGGCGCCAGCAGAAACAGCAATGCGGTCCTCGTCGATCTCGACTTGTTCGTTGATGGCGGGAGGATTGAACTCGTGCTCGGGCTGCCAGACGACAATTTCGCCTTCGATGTTGCCCGGGTCTACCTCCCACGGTTCCGGCTCCTCTTCGTCCTCGGATTCGGCCTGCTTCCTTCTGCCTCCTTTTCCTGCAGCTTTCCGGCTCTTCGCCCTTCTCTTGCGCGCCTCCTTTTCTTCCTCCTCGACACGGACAACCTCCTTGATGCTGGGAAGTAGGAACCTGTCCTTGCCGGCCTCGAAAGCCTCTTCTTCATCGTACTCGACGTGCTCGTTCTTCCAGTACGCCAATGGCCTGTAGGATTGACGACCGGATCTTGTTTTTGTGATGGCATGGGGATCTTGTGGCACCTTGCGTGAGACCAAGCCACGGGCCTTGGGCATGGGCGGCCCCTTTTGTACCAGACCAAGAATTGAATCGTCACCAGCGGCCGCTTCCGTCTGGGGCTTTCGGCCCGGCCTGCCCTTGGGCTTGGGCTTCGGATCAGCCTTCGCAGCATCTTTGCTCGACTCGCCCTTCAACTCTTGAGGAACGGCCTTGGGCCGCCCACGCTTGCCAGGTTTCGCTGCCGCTGCCGCTGTCGCAGTTTCCGTACGTTGCCTTTTGGAAGCGCGATCGTCCGCTTCCACCTGCTCCTCCTCGTTGCCGTTCGAATTCCGCGAGCGTCTGCGCTTGGGAGCGCTGACCTCCTGCTCGGGTTCCTGCTCGGGTTCCTGCTCGGGCTCGGGCTCGTCAGCCTTGGCCTTTCCCTTGCCTTTCGCTGGACGGCCTCTTCTGCCCTTAGGGGCCACTGGCTCCTCCTCTGACTCGGCAGCATTCTCCGGCTCTTCCTCTGGCATCTCGACAACTGGCGCCTTGGCCTTGGGTGGGCGTCCTTTACGCTTGGCCGGCTGCTTTGGCGCTTCTTCCTCCACCTCCTCAGTAACATCGTTCGGCTCATCCTCCGGGACTTCTACCTCACCAATCATTTGCAGGGACTCCTCGATGATTTCGTCCATAGGCGCTCCGTCGTCTTCCTCCGGTTCGGTGGAGAGGGCGCGTCCGTTTGTTCCATTCGTATGCTTGCCGTTCACACCATTCGCGCCGTAGTCAAGACGGCGAGAAACAGATGCCCCACGGACAGGCTGGGAATGCGATTGCGCGGGAGATCCTCGGTAAGGTGATCCACGAATCGGTGATGACGAGACACCAAAGTTAGGGTGTCGCACTGCAGGAGAAGCGAGGTTCGTCTTCCGCGGGGAGGTTCCTCGAGGAATTAGTCGCGGATGCCCCTTAAGAATCGTGGCTGGTCCGGCGCCGGTGTCTACATGGCTTCGTCAGGATGCGCGCGTCAAGGCCGCCAGCACAGCAAACTCACCAGAGTCGAGCTCCATATCTTGCTCGCCCGTCGATTCGTCGGGAGATCCGCTGTCTTTCTCCGGCGAGGAGAAGAGACCGTCGATAGGTTGCATGCCATGTTCGTCGCGTACGCCAGTGTCGCGCAACTCAATGCCTGTCTTTCTGCAGGGGCGTAAGTAAAATGATCAAAACTACCGAGTCGCACCTTCTATCCAGAACGAAGAAGACATCTGCGCGCGACGTACCGGCCCTTGACACCGAGCTCATGGAAATCGCCTGTGGACGTCTCGCGACGCCTAACATTGCTCGGTCGCGGTGCCATCGCGACTGTGGAGTCTTTGGGAATTCCGATGGAAATCCCGCAAAAATTAGATGAAAATGATGGCGGCTGAGGAGCTGGGGCCTAAGGAGTGGGGGCGAAGCTGAGCAAAGATTCCGAGCCAGGTGCGTCGTATTTGTTTACCCCGAGCAGGTGTGGTGGTTTGTGGTGTTGAGCGCGCAACTTTTGGGGCGGTGGAAAGAAGCACCATGAGTTGGCGTCGCGCGGTGTGATGCTTGCTCTTTGCTGTTAGCGGTGCTTCCGGGCCTGTCAGTAGCTGATACCCGCTGCAATCCAGGAGTCAACGGGGCACGTGTGCGGAAGGATCCACCTGGATGGACGCGTCTCAATTTACCGGGACGCGTCGAGGGGCCAAACCTGCCACCCATTACTTTCAGTCTTCAAGTCACTTCATCAGTCACTCACCTTTTGGTCGTCACTTTCTCATCACTGTCGCATTGTTCTCACTACGGGACGTTTTCATAGTAGGATTTGGGAAATTGGGCTTGCAGCAAGATATCCGGACGACACCAGGGACTGTCGTAGACAAACGAGGACTTACACCCAACTTACGACGTCAAACGGGATACATCCAGATTTCTCTTTGGGACACCAGTCCTCAGCAATTCTCACCATGGAAGACACTCAAACGGTCGAGGACATCGCCATGGAGACCCCAGTCTCAGATGTCTTTATCCCACCCTCCATTGACGATAAGGCCCTCCTCGCAGGCGACAACTACTCCTACTTCTCCCCCATTCCGCCATCACTGCTCCCGTCATCAGAATCCACAGACTCAGAAACACCAGCGCTCGGCACCCCAGTCTGTCTCGGCGTAGACGAAGCAGGCCGCGGCCCCGTCCTCGGCCCCATGGTCTACGGCGTCTTCTTCCTCCCGATCCCCCTCTCGGACCCCCTCCTCCGCGAAACCCACCACTTTGACGACTCAAAGGTCCTCACGCCCGCCGTCCGCTCCCAGCTCATGGAGGCTCTCTGCACGCCGGGATCAGACCTCTTCGACTCCTGCGGCTTCGCCATCCGCTCCCTCTCCGCCCGCGACATCTCCACGGGCATGCTCCGCCCCGGCGCGACGTACAACCTCAACGCCCAGGCCATGGACGCCACCGTCGACCTCATCAAGGGCGTCTTCGCCCGCGGTGTCAACGTCGCCGAGATCTACGTCGACACCGTCGGCCAGCCTGCTGCCTACCAGGCTAGACTGCAGCGCTTCTTCCCGGCGACAAAGATCACCGTTGCGAAGAAGGCAGATAGTCTGTACCCCTGCGTCTCGGCTGCCTCTGTCGCTGCCAAGGTCACCCGTGATGCTGCGCTTGAGGTTCTGTACTGCGCGCGTGCGCCTGAGGCGGCCGAGGCGGAGGAGGGCATGGCCTGGGGTTCAGGCTACCCGTCTGACCAGAGATGTGTGACTTGGATGAGGGGCAACATGCACCCTGTCTTCGGCTGGGGCCCCGAGTGCAGATTCAGCTGGGGCACGGCTAAGGACATGCTTGAGGCCAAGGGGAGCTTAAAGGTCGAATGGCCAGTCGATGATGACGGCGAGGCTCGCATGACTGACTTCTTCCGGTCGACAGACGCAGAGGATGGCGATGAGTTGGGTACATGGTTTGGAAGACCAGCAGGCCTTGAGGCTTTTTAGGATTAGTGTAACAAAGGTCGGGTAAGAGGCGTTGGGCGTTTGTATATCATCTGGGATCACCATGGGAAATTTGACAGGATACTACAACGTATCTTATAGACATTATATCCTTTGCTCCTATTCGCACTCTTTGTGGTGGCCGGCGTCTGGACCGCAGCTTCATTCCAGCTTCATGCGTAAAATCTAGATGTCATCAATATCATCCTCCGAGCTCTTCTTCTTGCCCCGACTGTCCAAAGTGTCCATACTGATGGAGCTGTCGGCCCGGGAGGGCATGGCCAGCGCCTGTCGGGCAGTGTCTGAGTTCTCGATGAACTCTCTCAACTTCTGCTTGCCAATCTCAACACCCTGGTTTGCCGCCGCATTGGCCATCTGATACATGGGGCCCAGCATGTTCAGCGTGTAGGCGACATAAGTGCCTCCAGCCAGCAAGATGAGGAAAATGAAAAGGAACGGGTTGCGCAGGACTGTCTTACGTTAGCGTTGTCAATGAAAAAGCTCTCAAGCCACTTACCGGCAACAATCTCGTTCCATCCCAGGGCAACGAGGAGAGCGTAGAAATACAGAGGTACTTGAGCGACAGAGCCAATGGCGCTGCGCTTGGCCTCGACGTAGACGCCATCTGCCGTCTTCTTGAAGCGAATGACAAGGTCTTGGCGCTTACTCTCGCTAAGCACCGTCATCTCCTCCTCAAGGCTCTTGCCGTCCTCTTCGTCAACACCACCAATTGGAGTCAGGTCCTCCTCGTCGCTAGCTTCAACGCCGCGAGGCTGTCCGCCAATCCAGGCGGGCAGGTCCGGGGAGCTGAGAGATTCTGACAACTTGAATTTCGATAGCAGAGGGATGAGAGTCAACGTAGACTCTCGCGCCTTGGTGTAGATGCCCTCGATGTCGTCTGTGGGTCGCCAGATCCGAGGGACACCAGCCTCGTCGTATCTGAACTTATCCTCAAAGTTTTCCCTCAACTTCAACAGGATATTGCCCTCCATCACTTCCTCCTCAATCTTCTCACGCAGAGCCACCCAACTCTTGCGCCTCAGGCGCCAGAGGCCAATGTCAACCTCCTCTTGCGTAGCCTCGAAACTCTTGGCACGCTCAGTAAACCTGCCCTGGGCATCCTTGACAATGTCGACGAACACGGTCCAGATACGATCCCAGAGATCCTTCTCGGTCGGTTTTTCACCAGTCTCGGGGGCGCCAGAACCAGCCCTACCGGAGCCCAACTTGTTGAACTCCAGCCCAACGGCGTCGCCCAATCGGGACTTGACCCATCTCTCAACCCTCGTGGCCAACCGACGCATCTCCTCCTTGCGCAGCTTGCCGCTCACATCATCAAGCTCCTTCTCGAACAACACGTATTGCGACTTAAAGTTAGACCACGCGACACTCGGAATGGCGAGACTTTCGGCTTCGGTCTGGAAGAACTCAAGAGTCTTCTTCTTCTCCTCGGTGACGATCTCGGCGAACTCATAGGCGGCACCGGACTTCTGGCCAGCCTTGACAGCACCCGAAACAGCATCACTGAACGAAGCAATACCCGACTTGTGTGCAGCAGTCAGCTGTGCGTTGTATAGCGTCTTAAGCCTGGCGTCAATCTTGCCCTCCAAGTCTTGGCGCTTGCGCGTGTAGACGCCCTTGTGGTATCGGCTGGCTTGGATCTCGAATGCCTTCAGGCACTTCTCGCGGGACTCACGGCCAGTAACACCAAGCTCTGCCAACACGGCGGGCTTTCCAAGCCTTGTAGACTCGGTCTGCTTCTCCTCCAATGGCACAACAGCATTGTCAAAACCAATCAGAACCTCTCGGGAGATTTCGTCGCAGCGGAACTGAGCAAGAAGCTCTTGCTGTGTTGGCAAGTCCAAGTCCTTGTTGTTGACAATCTGGTCCCAGATACCCTCGGCGTAAATCGAGAATCCGTCGGCGGGAATGCGGCGGTGGTACTCGGGCAGGAACACACCGCCTTCAAACTCCTGACTTGTGGATCCACCCGATCGGTGCCCCGCAACGAACCTCTTCCCCAGGTTCTGAATCTCAGTCGTGAACTTATCGGCCTGGAGAATCTTGTGGGGGAGGGCGGCGAAGGCAAAGTCAAAGTAGTCCTCGATGCGGGAATTCTCAAGACCCTGGGGCTTGGAAATAGACGTCCAAATCTTGGTCAGGTCCTGGATCAGGGTGTTGCGCAGGTTCGCGAGAGGGGTCGTGCCGAGGTGGTCTCGAATGACGAAGAAGAGCAGGGATCTGAGACTCGACCTGTGGTGGCGTGTCAGCAAGTGGTGGCGTGTCAGCAAGTGGCGGTCTAACTGCACCGCACATTCGACTTACTGCTTGTCCTTGAGGAAGAGCTGCAGGTTGACCTCGAAGACGGTCTTCAGCAGACCCATATTCGCACCGTTATACAAACCGACTTGGGTCTCCCAGAGGTTCACGATGAGGACCTCACTCGTAGCCAAGGCGAACAGGGCGCTCTTCCTCTCGAAGTCCTGGTCCTCGCCACGCTCGCGACCGTCGGTTCCCTCCACGTCCATCACGAGAATGTTCTCGGCCATGCCGGATGACTCCTTCTTGTTCTTGGACATCCAGATACCCTTGGTGGTTTGCTGTCGCATCGTCTCGGACATGACGGAGAAGTCGGTACCAAACAGGTTGTTCAGCAGCGTCGACTTTCCGGTGGACTGGGAGCCGAAGACGGAGATGAGGTGGTAGTTGAACCCCGCCTCGGCGACGTGGACTTTTTGGAGGTATTTGTTGACCGCGACACTGCAAGTGCAGAGGTTAGCTGCTGTTCGGCATGTTCTCGCGGGAGCGGAGGCTGAGAATCGTACTTGAAGTCTTTCTGGTCGTCAATGACTTGGATGCCATGCTCGTAATTTTGAGCGTCCGGCTCATCGCCGACAGCAGCGAAGTGGTCGTTCATGGTTGCGGCAACGTATGAGGCAAAAATCTAAAAGGGAGCGACGAAGAGCGTGCGTGTGTGTTCTATATGGACATTGTCGTTCCTCCCAAATAAAAATAGAAAAAAGGCCAGGCGTCGTGGGTGCAGAATTGCAGCAAGGGGCGAAAGGTCCAGCGGAGGTGGCTATCGGTGTTGGCAACGGAAATGGGAAGTGACCAGATCAACCCTTGTGATCAAATTCCCCTGCCATGGGCTGCCCATGGGCCATGGGCCGTCCACAGGTTAGTCAATCTTGCTTTCCCAGCAGTGCGAATGCGCCGGATGAATATATGGTCCGTGAGCCTTTCCCCCAAAATGCCCCCAACCAGAAGCCAAATTAGGCTCGGTCTCAGGGCAACCCCTGGCATGCGAATTCTAGCTCCCCCTATCGCTGCGGGAAAATCACCCAAAAACATCAGACGGCATGACGACACCACAGACATTTACTCGCCATTGTTTGACAGGTCGATCAGTGTCAAAAAAAGACCTTCGACCGGAGCATGGCCCGAGAATTGCAGAAAAAGCGCTATCCATCAAGATGCGCTGTGCGTCCCTGGAACTAACTTTGGTGTCCGCTAGCGAACATCCTAGGTTCTCAACGGCGGCGCGGGCCGGTTTTAATGTGGAATGGTCCTTCAATTCAGCTTAACAACCCTTCGATTTCGATCCTGCGGCAAAGTAATTACATATGGGCCGTCAACCGTACTTCGAAATCAGCTTCTTCATGATACCCATTGCCCCGCTTCGATAGCCTCCGCCAAACATGGCATAATGGTTGAGATGGTGATATCTGCAAGTACCTACTGTCAGACGGATAGTTGACCAGGCAACGCAAGGGAAGGACACTTACAGCTCGTACAACGCAACTCTATCCTCCCATTCGTCTTTGGGCTCCGCCTTTGGGACCAGCTTGTTGTACTCGTTCCAGAAGCTGCTGCCGAAACCGCCAAACATCCTCATGATGCCAAGCTCATACTCAGAGTGGCCGTACACAGCCGACGAATCGTAGACAACCTCTTCCGCACCGCCCTTGCCGGCAATCTGCCCCCGGCTATGGTTCCCACTCCAAAGATCGCCGTGGATTAACACCGGCTTCATCCCTTTAACGTGGTCGTCGCCGATCAGCCGCGGTACGACCCTGCTCGCTACCGTCTCCACGGCTTTGGACAGCTCCCCGTCCGTGACATTATTCTGGATGCCAGCGCGCAGAATGCTTCGCAGTCTGTTCCCAGCATAGAACTCGGCCCATGACTCTTTCCACGAGTTGTCTTGGGGCGTCGAGCCGCAACATGTGGTCACGGGGAAGCCGTACATGGGCTTATCATAGCCCTCTGGGATTGGCGCCGGGGTTGTGTGCATTTTGGCCAGTTTTGAGGCCAGAGACAGTCCAGAACCGCCCGAGGCTGAAGAACCAAGGTCCAGAAAATCGGTGACCATGAAGTGCGTACCAGGTGACGACTGATACTTTCCGTGCGCATGTGACTTGGGGCAGAAGTCGGGGACGGCATCGTGAATGGCATTCAGCGACTCATGCTCACCTGTCATGTGTCAGGAGACGTGTCGACACAAACCAAACGGAACGACTCCGAGAGTGAGTCAAACTCACCGGTGAACATGACCTCCGCCTCCTTACCACTGCCAGTCTTGACGAAGAGTTTAGTGGGCTGACCATCAACGACTGACGTGAGCTTGAAAGAGGACGCAAACCCAGATCCTCCGTGCGACGCAATTTTGGTCTGCTCCGGGTCGAGTTGCAGAGCTTCAATAACAGCCGGGTCCACGTTTGGAGCCATATTGAAGACTTTGGCGAAGATTAAAGCCCTGAGATGTCAAGTTGAAGAGTGTCGTCCAAGAGATGCACTCGACTTAAGCATACAGCTAGCTGTCCTCCCACCCTCCCAAGCCAGACATTGGATGAGCTGTAAGTGACGTATCCGTAGAACACAGCGGCCTCCACACTGGGTGGGCCGCATGTCACTCAGCCCCACAGACCCCAACTGTCCACGAGTGTCATCGTTCTTACCACCGTGTCCCCATTCCATCGACTCATGAGCTCTCCTGCGCTCTAGATTTCCCAGTTTTTACAGCCACTTGGATCGATAGCTCAGTGGTAGAGCGAGAGATTGCAGTCTCAAGCAGCAGTTATCTCTAGGCCCCGCGTTCGAACCGCGGTCGGTCCTTGGTGATTTGTTTTTGCAGGAAGTAAATTCCATTAGATGCTACTGATGGAGTTTGATACTATTTTGGTCAATTCCAATGGTTGCTTTTCCATAGCTACGTCTATTGCACCATCTGAAGCAGCTGGCACCTCATGCGGTGCTTATTCCCGCCAGGACATGTGGAATCGGCCCCGTCATGCAGGTGGGTCTGTCGCTCCGATAAGCGGCGCCGTGATGGGGCCGGTTTGCTCCGGACAAGGCATGTGTGGTGGTTATCTGAGCTTATCACGAGAGCAACTGAGACATGATGCTTCACAATATGTTGGTTTTCTATCGTGAATTCAAAAAGAGGCTATCAAACGGTATCTTCAAGCGAACCGTAACAACCTTACCCAGCTCTATCTATTATTCATCCTAAACACCAAAAGGCTCCCGAATTGCTGTGCCGCGCATTCACCCGTCTCGAGGTATGTCTCGACGCATCGCGTATTCACGGGTCACGATTCCCGCCAACCGACACCAGCCATGGCAAACAAGAAAGTCGAGCTGACCTGCTTGTCCCGCCTGACTGGCTGACATGCGGGAACCAAACGCCCCCGGTCTAGGCCTGTCAATACCCCAACTTTCCCCCAAACTTTCCCAACCCCAGCTGTGTGGCCCAGCGCCGCGCCAACCACGCGCGCAAGAAGCTAACCCCCTCCCTATCGCATCCTCGCTTCCCCAGGATTACGACTTCGCACCAACCCAACGGGACAGTTCCCCCGCGGCGGCGCCCAAAGAAAAGCTGCGGCGCCCGCCGGCGCGTTCCCAAACCGTCCAACGACTGCAACCCAAGGACCCCTTGTCTGCATCTCAAACCCTAAAATTGGCTGGTCCAACCTGTCGTGATCCTGCGCCCAGAGACTCTTAAGTAGAGTCAGCTTCTTGGCACTCCGGGGTCACGCAGGATTTCTGAGGGGGTTTTGCCCATTCCCATTTCCCTTTGTCCCATCCAAATGAAGAAGACCGCCCCGTGTCGAGGTGAGAGGAGCGAGGAGAAGAAAAGACCGGTCTGGACGCCATGGACGCCAAGCTTCCTTCCCCTCGGTGGCAGTGTACGTGGCCCTGGATGTCGGTGCAAGCCACGGCTGAATTACCACCCCTCAGTTAGACGATTTCCTTCCCCCGAACGAAGCGGTGAATGTTGGTGAGCGAGACGGAGCTAGTCCTGCTTTCTTGGGAGTACACGCTGAGGTTGGTGGTCGAGGAGGTCTCTTCGCGACGGAGGGGCGTCAGGTCGGTTTCCGTTTCTCTTCGGAGAGTGGCTGTTCGGGTTTCTTTGGGTTGAGGAGCCGTCGTCATGGTCGAAGTCGCAGTCTGTGGGGCCGTCGTCTTCCAGTGCTCACCGTTGCCGTTCCAGCAGGCAGAGCATGGGCATTGAGGAGTGCGGTTGAGGGCTGGCGGAGGAGTGCAGTGGCGCTTCCACCAGCTGAGAGGCTTTTGTTGTTGTTGATCGGAAGACATCGTGAAGTGGGTGAGGATTGGTGGTGAGCAGACGGGACAACAAAGACGTCAAAGTCAAGTGAATGGCAAGGGATCAAGGGACCAGTGGACCGAATCCAGGCTCTAGATATATGCTGTGGGTATAGGTAGAAGTCGACTGGACTGGCAAAGGTCGAACGATGACCCCTTAAATGCAAAACGTGAAGGCCTCGCGGCGGAAGGCAAGAAACAGACTGGTGAATGGAGACAAGCGGAAGCGGATACAGGTTCCTCGGAAAGGGGGGGCCGATGAAGATTTATACCCTCAAGAAAAAGCATCCCCCGAGACGACACCGCAGCGGCGCCGAGCCATGGTCAAGGAGAACGGTGTTTGTGGGACCCCTTGGTCGTGTACCCATGACTGCATGTGAAGCTTACCCGGCCCGGTTTGTGCTCGCAAGGCTCAAAGCCTAGATAAGTGCGTATGTACAACGTACAGAAATCTCGACTGGGCGCTTGCCTAGCCTTCAGCTTTTGTCTAGCTGCCGCCGCCGGCGCACATGTTCGGCCACATTGTCGGGTCTCACCTTCTGTTATCTTTCAGATGGTAGAGCCGGCGCTGTTCAGCTCGAATCCTTCGGGATCCTCTCCGGCTCACTTGAGTCCACGGTCACCCACGATTCCCAAGTCGCAAGAACCGACGAGAAAACAAACAGGAGAAAAGCCAGGCCTGCGGTACTTGTCAGTCGCAAGAATCTCAAGGTAGACGGTCCCCAATAAGGGCAAACGGCCGGTACGTACTTGTTTAGTCACCTTCGCTAATCGCATCACATTGTCTCGGGAGTGCGTCGGAGAAGCCTCGCAATGTTAGTGCCCGCTTTTCTTCTACTGTTCCTACATTTCGACATACGACTGTGGAGCCAGACCGCCATGGAAACAACGATTTTTTTCAGCTGTTACTCGTTCCTGTGACGAGGGCGTCCCTGTGGAGTTTCGTTTTGCTGGGCGCGACGTTGCGGCGTGGTGTTGCAGATGCGACTCAGTCGCCGTTGTTGATGCGTCCCGGCGCATGTTGCGGATCATCCAGCCGATCGAGCGTTGAACCCTTCGGTACGTACCACCTCCTCGAGCATTCTCACCCTCGAAAAGAAAAGAGGGTGATCGAAAGGTCGTGAAGGCTCGGCGATGAAGTTTCGGGCGAGAAAAAACTCGGAAATCAGTGGCAAGAAGACACCACAATTTTGTGACTTGTCCCAACCGCCAGCAGCCCGAATTCCAGACCGGTTCGAGGCCCAAGCATCCCGAGCAAATCACAGTCGCGTCATAACTTTAGCCCCCTGGCAGATAAGGACAAGCGTCGGGATCTTTCCGCCGGGAAGGGCTCCAGCCAGGGTGCAAGGTGGAAAGAAAGAAAAAATCAAGCAAGGCGTTGGCGGGAGAGATGCATACGAGTGCTATTCCCGTGGCCAGGGTCTGTGATGGGGACCTGGCAACCCTTTTCTACGAATGCCCGGACGGGAACGACATGTCGTTGAGCCTCACTGTGGATCCTCCGCTCTGGACGCCCTTCATCCGAGAACTGCAATAGCCGAAGGGCCCATTTTGGGCCGAGAGATGCTGCCTATGTGTGGAGGGAGGATCTTGCGGTTGTTCGCGGAGTGAAATGGCCTGAATGCGACTGCTACCGTTGCGACTCAACGATTCGGTGTTATACTTTATCGCCTTGAACTTTCTAGCATTTTTTTTTGTCTCTCACTACTTTGTTGCGGAGCTGGCAACAAAATTCGTCGAAAATTTGGAGCTCGTTGTTCTAGGAGACAAAGACACGAGTGTCGTTGAGACAAGATGATGGTGCCGTGCAAGACCATGGACGAGGGTTCGTTGTCGTCCCAGTCACAACCGGAGAATCTTTGGCAGTGCGCTTTTCATCCCAAAGGTAAAGCTCAGGCATCGCTCAGTCTCATGTCTGTGTCTTTCTCTTTCGATTGAAGTTCCCTCCCAGCAACAACAAGCTTGCTGCTCATAAACAGGAGGACTGCAGGGCATACTCTCCTAGTGGACGCCTGGGAGCCGCCTGGCAACGACTTACCTTGAAGCTTCCACCGGGTTCAACCGACTGCTCTCATCTTCAGATAGGCAATGGTCCCCTTTTGATTCGTATCATCATGAGTCCTGGTTTACTGTGGACTGCTTGACTTAAGATGCCGGTACTGTTCTCCATGTTGGCGTCCAAATCCAAGCGGACTCGCAAATCCAAGCCAAATCGAACAAGCATCGACCATACAATTCGTCCAACCGACAGATAGTCTTGAAACGAAATGCAACGATATCAGAGACGTCCGTGGTCGTATCAAACACTATGGGCTGGCTCCGAAGCTCCGAGTAGATGGGGAGAAGCAGCATCGCCGAATCCCTTCAGTCAGCCGTCGGAAGCGGAAGAGTTCAACAGGCTGTGTGAGATCCAGTTGGGACATGAGTACCACAGTTACCAGCTTGGAAGCTACTCGCGGCATCCAAGTGGCAGGATTTTCGGGGATGATCTCCCGCCAGCTAGGCTCCAACACCGACATAATTCGTCCATCGTATCGAGGATTGTGGCACTTTCAGCGTTGACAGTTCTCGTGCTTGCCGAAATTGACAAGAAAAGTCGGTCTGTGGCTTCGACAACTCTGAGAACCCTCGACCGGGCACGTGAAGAGAGTAACGCCTGTCAACTTTGGATCTCAAATAACTCGATGCTAGAAACTGGGACGATTGTGATATTTTGCGTTCTGGTCATCTGCGCGCTGGTGTTACAGATGATGCAGCCTTTTGCGACAGGCCCGCGACCTGTCTACGTCTTGGTTCATGATTGTCGTCTATGGTCGGCATGAAGAGCATGTGCGAAGACGTTACGCCATGTCGATGGCATACGTGCTTCTGACTTTGAAGATGGAGAAATTGGCGGGAACGCTCGGGCTACTGTAAATACTCCCAATGAGCGGTGCACAGGCCATGTGCATGTCACTATCAACCCAGGAGCTCCGGCCTGGATCGGTACTACTGATTGCATGTGTGCTCGAGCTGCAATAGCAAGAGCAAAAGTGAAGCCGAATACGACATCATCATGGATTGCCATCTTGTGAACTGTGCTATGGATACCACGTGTATTCATTCTTCTTATCTCTTTTGTGCTGTACGGATACGTTCTTCAAGTACATAACATGGTACAAGTACATTCACCAGGGTCCGCCCCACGTTCGTGACCAATTTGAACTGTAACCTATGAAATTTCCACTCGTTTCCCCTCTCGCTTCTACGTGCTCACTCTCCATGAGCTGGGAATGGCGGCGAGTAGACCAGCGATTCGGATGACTAATCTCATCCACCTGGATCGATAGCTCAGTGGTAGAGCGAGAGATTGCAGCTTCCCGTAGCAACCTATCTCTAGGCCCCGCGTTCGAACCGCGGTCGGTCCTTGAAGCCCGTCGGGTACTTCGCTTTTTGTTCTTTTTGTTCTTTTTGATTGAGAAGAATCCACAAACTTTGGATTGTTTGCTGTTGCTGAGTTGTCTTGCATTTGCCATTTGGCCAAGTCTGTCGACGATTGAGTGCAACGTGTCAATGGTCCAGAGAGTCTGCAGTACCCAGCTTAACGATGGGCGTAACAATCAGGACTGGTATCCATGACCATATTTCTTCACATCATCCTGAACCTTTCCAAACTGGCTAGGGTCCTTCGGCGAGATGAAATAAACCTCCTCGCGAGCACCGATGGCTCTCAGAGCCTTGCCATCGAAGACCCCGTCGTAAGATGGCCAAGGCTGCAAGCGATACCTCGATGTGTTGTAGCGCCCGCCGTCCCATGGGTTATTCATGTACTTGAGAAGCAGGTGATGACTCTTCAAAACCTCGTCCGGAAGGTCGTCCTTGAGGCGGACGAGATATAAGTAGCGACCTCGCTCGACGTCGGTTGTTGGTGGTAGGAGCTTAGTATCAGGCGGGATGGCAATGCCCTTGATTGAGGTGTAGGTTTTTGAGACTGCATCGTGTAAAGTTACGTTTGCCTGAATGGGCGAGGCCGAGACCGTGGTGTCGATCACAAAGGCCCCTAGGAGCGCGATGGTCTTGATAGCGTTGAGGAAGCGCATCTTGGGCTCTGGCGTTAGAATTTTTCGATGTTTTCTGTAAGATGAATAGATTGGACTAAGCCGAGGGAAGGTGTGACTGGAAATTATATATGTACGAAATCTCAGTGACCTTGGTGATTCGTTTGACTTTCTCTATTACAACCGCTGTGGAAGCAGTCGCCACAACCATAGTCAGACCCTTTAGACCACAAGGTATCCTCCCATGTTAATCCAACTACGCCTTGATCATTGACCCTAGAAAGAGGCCCAGCAAAGTGAGAGCCAGTGCCAATGGCGTAGTCGCATTCTGTACATCTCCCTGGATTATCCCAAGGAGATAAAGAATGCAGAAGATAATAAAAGGTGACAGGCACAAGACGATGTAAAAAGATGTTATCAGTGCTGACCGGCGTTCTTGGATGTAGAGACCCCAAAAGTCTTCTTTCCGGTTGCTTTTCTCATCGAGGTAGTAGTACCGCTGGGGTATGCACCCCACGGTGTCGTAACTCAGCGACTCAACGCAGGAGTAGATCGGGAGAGTCCATGATGAGCCTGCGTAACCACTTTTGGTGGTGAATTGATAGATGTGGCTGAATTCTTCTGGGGACACCGGTGGTTCACGGAGTGCTGGCCGAGGAGTGTAGTAGTAGTCCTTTTGCGCCGTCGTCGGCACTTCAAGGCCCCGGTGAGCGAAGCCGTTACGGCAGAACTTTTCGAACTGGGAAAAGATTAGCTCCAGGGTCGTCAAAATTCATCGGAAACAACTCTCAAGTCGGAGGAGTGAATCATGTCAAGCAGGAGTTCTAGGCAATGACTTACACGTACGAAATCGCAGTGAGAGAATCCATACGGCGAAAACCACGATCTCCAGAAGCCTTTCAGCTCACGATATACCTGTCGTAGTTCTTGGCCAAATTCATTGGTGCTCAAGTACAGCGACGGGAGTTGTTTGAGAGTATGTCGACCAGTGGTAGCAACTAGGAATATGTATCTTGGCTTGGGATACTCCTACTGCTTCGTTTGCTGATTCCACTGATTTGATGCCGTTGATTGAGCTGGCTCGGAATTTGATTTGCTTCCCATCTTGATGGAATTTGTTCCCAAGGAAGAGGATTCTGATGCCGTCCCCGACGATGAACCTGGTTTCACCGTCGTCGTGCTTGTCTTTGAGGCATCCGTTCCATGCCCCCGGTTGTAGAAAGGATACTTTCGTAGCAGCCACCCGATGCCGCCGGCAAACTCTGCTGGCAACACCTCCCACCTGTCTTTTCCACATCTCTGAACGAGTTTGCGTCAGCTTTTTCCTCGATGTTTTCAAAAGGGGCGACTCACACAGCGCCATCCAAGTCTTGCTTCTGAAAGACTGGAAGTATACTTTGGCGGACGTAACGGCCACCAATTCCACGTCTCTCCGGTGGTCGATTCCAACCATATTTGAACCTTATCCATGATGCCTTGTGTGCCCTCCACATCGAGAAAGATGCTTTGGGGGCGTGATTCCTCCAGTTCAGTAAGTGTTGTCATCATTCTTGATCTCATGTTGCTCCAGTACCGATCGTCCGTGTCTTTCCCCTCCAGAACCCTAGCGACGAGCTTCGAAGCCTGTGAGCGAAATGAAGGATCTACAAAATCGGACAGATTCCGCGTCAAACTTGCGAAGGCAGAACTGTTCAATATAAAAGCACTGATGGACTCAAAGTCGAGGTCCCCAGCTTCTTCCTTCTCGGCCGGGGCTATATCGTCCGGTTCATCCTCTTCGTCTCGTTCTTCGTCCACAACCTCATACTTTGCTTCTATTTCTGCGCCATCCCGTCTCCCTCCTTCTAGTACCGTATCAGATGGAATAGTATCTTTAAGGTGCAGAGCTTGAGACTCCGAGGGGTCCACAAGAACGGGCTTGAGGTACTCTTCGGATGCTCTCATGGTGATTGCAGAGGCGATCGGCATGCGATACTGTCTCAAGAAGACGGCTGAGAGAGACTCATCCTTTGTCGTCGCCTCAACTGCCAAGTCTTTTCCCAATTGTCGAAGTAGACGAGCCAGGTTTCTTCGAAGCCTGTCTGCCCCGATTGAAGACTTTTGTATTGCTGCCTCGAATAATGTGGACAAAGCCTCGTTCTCAAGGAGGAACGCAATCGCCTTGTTGAGGCCAGATCGTACCGGGCCCGAAGCCGAGCTTCCCACAAGTGTCGTTGAGGATTCGAAAGATGCTACTGAGCTGGTTTCCCAATCATCATCATCCGAATTTAGATCTTCGATGTCGGTGCCCGGATATCCGTCATCATTCCGAGTCATTGAAGCCGGAAACGAGTGACCAACGTGACTGAAATAGGCAGGTGACTTTGCCAAGTAGTCCCTAAGTCGACCTGAATGGATTAATTCTTCGCATTTCTCCCATGTGAAATATTCCTCAGACCAGTCATCTCTCCAAGCAAATATGGTAGGGTCCTTAGCTTTCTCCAAGATGGCTTCTTGGAGACGTATGAATGCGTTTGTGTCGCCCTCCCCGTAGTTGGGCGCAACCTCCACATCAAACAAACCATGCAGCGAGTATGCTAGATCTTCAAGTCTCATTGCGTTACGGCTTACAGCCCAATACATTCGGCGAGCGACAGGAATCTTGGCAGGGTCACCGCCGACTAAAGCGTACGGATCGATGCCGGTGATGTGGTACAACAACTGCACCAGCTGAGAACGCTCTTGAAAAAGTTCCCATTGACGCGAGTAGAAGAGAAGCCGCACAGGAGCTATGAGTTCTTGGATAGTCCAGGATCGTGTAAACCATCTGCTCTGTCTCAACAGCTGATAGGGCAGCTGAGAATTGTCCACTTTGGGATGCGCGCTCGAAGGGTCGTAGTCGAAGTCAGACAGGTAGGCAATGCAAAGGGCCGCTGATCTAAATCTTCGAAAGCTGGAATTGATGGATGCATTGAGCTCAGCTTCGTTCTTTCGGTCGGTGCAGCATGTGTCGGTCCAAAGGTACTCGAGGTGATATTCCTCGAATGCAATGCGACATGCCTCACGTATCTTCGTAAACCCTGCCTTGGCAACTGCCTTTGATCGATCACCCACAAGGTCTTCATACATCACCTCCTCTGGACCCCACGTATGAGATAGGACTGCGTAGAGGGGCGGATCATATTCGCTTATGTGCTTCGTAAGCTCAACAGTGTCGGTTCGCAGAAAGATCATAATGAGGCATGCATGAATCTTGGCATATGTGGAAATTTCTGACCGAAGCTCGATGAGAGAATTCATCTTGCACGTCTGCCTGGAAAGGCTGCGCTCGCTGCGGTAATAGGCCGGCACTCACGTGGTCCAATGGGATGTCTTCGCATATGCAGCTCAGAGGAGTCGGCGATAGGCTCAAGAGGGTCCAGCAGAAGAATCACAAAGTCCCTCCTTGATAACGCGAGTAGTCCAATACATTGGTATTAGATTTCAAGTTTACCTCGAACGTCAAATCCGGTGTAAAGAGTTGGGATAATGATCGAGGCCAAAGTCTTCGTTATGCAGGGCGCCCCTCAAATGATGCTGCCCCCTAGCTTCCGCTGCAGCTTCTCTCCCTTATCTTCTGCCGCTTCCTCCTCCTTCCTCTTCTCAATCGCCGCCTTCCGCCTGTCGTGATATGCTGGGTCCCTAGCAACACCCTCCCTCCGCCACTTGCGCGGGGGCTTCACGCCCATCTCCGCATACCTCGACCACACGCTCACGCCGCGGCGGAACCACCTCTCCTGCCTGTCCTGCTCCTCCTCGGGCGACGCCTGCCACTTGCTCCTCAGTATCCTGCGGATCGCCTCGGGCGACACCTCGAACATGCTCGACAGCTTGGTCGTCGTGTACTCCTCGGGGGACTGCGCATGCAAAGCCTTAATGCCGGCGATGGCGTCCGGCGACAGGCGCTTCCGCGGGTTCCACCCCTCGGGAAACTTTTCTTTGAGAGCCTCCTTCTGGACCTGCCAGTGCTCACGCTGGTGTTTGCGCTCCCGCTCGTGGGGGTTTAGGTCGCCGTCGTCTTCGTCGTTGGTCGGTCGCCTGGGACGTGGTTTCCTTGGACGGTAGCTGTTGCTTCTTTCATCGGAGGACGTTTGCGTTGCTTGTGCGGCTTGTGCGGCTTCTTTGGCTGTTGCCTTCTTCGCATCCCATTTATTGTTGAACGAGGCGCGTGGCTTTGGGAGCGTAGTGCTGAATGGGGATCTCGGGATGGTCTGGAATCTTGGGAGGTTGTTACTGATATGCTTGATTGTCGCTGCGGCGGCGGGTTCGGAGACGTGCAGCTGCGCCATGCTGCTGAGCAAAGCCCGCAAAGGACTGAGGCGACAAGAGCAGAGCATGTTTCAATTGTCGACCGGTGAGGATGCGTGGGCAGGGTATGCGTCGTGGCGTTGCGCTTCGAAGTCTGCGATTAGCGGCAAACGGGCTGCTGGTTGACAAATTTCCATGCTATCGATACGGAGTTCTATTGACGGGACGGGGCGCGCTACTACAGTGGGTCCGCCCCGGGGCAAGGGTGCCGTGGCGCCGGCGCTGAGCCCGTTGTCCGGTGCCTTCCAGGTTCTGCAGGGACCCGGTGCCACTAAATTAAATGAATACTTCCATCGTCCTCGTCAGCAAACCTTACCCATCGTCTGTAAGACAACTCTGCGACTTCAACAACGACGATGCAGTGGATGCCATTACGGCGAAATTTCATAACCAGCAACACAACTTGCTCGAGAGTCCGAGTAGGTTGCTTTCCCCCCTTATTGCCGACGATGAGGCCCGCCTATTCTAACCCCTCACTGGAGCTAACCGCGAGCTGGAATGCACGTGCAAGAAATCAAAGCATCATCCATGCTCCCCGCGGTTCTCCATCCGCGCAGTGTCGGCCAGCCTGCCGCCCTCCATCCCATCTCTGGCAGAGCCGTTCACACCACAATCGGCCCTCCCTGTCAAGTGGTTTAGGGTAGCAAGCCGTGGTCCGGTGATCTGCCAGCGCGTCTGGGAGGAACTCCCCCCCTCATCCGAATGGGGTCACCAACTCGTTTCGCAGTGCGAGCGGGCATGTGTTCGAGAAGAACGACAGGGAGGCTGCGAGTCAACATGCTTAATTCAACTTGACATTTGTTGACTATCATATGATTTACACTTGGAGTTTTCAGAGGTTAAATCCTGCCGGCTTTCCTGGGTTTTGTTAAGCTCGAAGAGCTGGCTTTGAGTTCGATGAAGTCATTGCGTTTGTTAGCCCCTACTTGCCACACGGTGGAGTTGAGCTAAACACCACTCGCAAACTATCTTCACCCTCACTCTTATCTGCAACTTCATGTCTTGGATCTGTACACCAGTGCTATCCCTTCTTGTACAATTTTTGACATTTTCTTCACCCACATCTCATACAGTCAGACCCCTAGAGCAATGGCAGGCCGTCTCTGGTATAGAGGCCCCGAGTGGCAAGAAGCATGGGACTATTGGTTCAAGTGGACAGACGAGCACCTCACATCTGACGACCTTCGACCGTTGATTTACACGTACGATGAGCTGGGAGCCCAGGCTCTGGACCGCCTCGATGAGATATCACCGCCAGCCAAGCCCCCGGCACCCAGCGAGAAAGGAGACAACTCTCCCAAGGAAAATTCTCCCCACAGAGACTTATACGCCCTCCTCAAAGACAACGCCAGTTCGGATGAGATACTAGGAAAACTATGGACCGAAATCAACACCATCCCGGACTGGGTAGACTGGGCTCAGATTGAACGCGGTCAAAAGGTGTTTGTCCGTTACGCCGGGCCGGCCATCTTCTCCGTAAGCCCCCGATCCTTCACTTTGAAGAACGACCTCACTAACACCACACTTACAGCTCACGTTCCAATCCCTGGTAGGCGGCTTCGGCGGCCGCCGCGTGGTCGAAACGCTCGCCCGCACCGGCGGCTTCGGCGTCAAGGTCACCCGCCGCCGCCTCCTCGAGACGTTCCAGCACATCCTCCAGGTGACCAGCGACCTGCCCTCGATCCAGCCCAACGGCGCCGGCTTCGCCTCCTCCGTCCGCGTCCGCCTGCTCCACGCCGCCGTGCGCCGTCGCATCCTCGCCCTCACCCGCGAGAAGCCGTCCTACTACGACGTTGAGGCGTGGGGCATCCCTGTCAACGACCTCGACTCCATCGGCACCGTGTCCACCTTCTCCGCGACGCTCATCTGGATCGGCCTCCCCCGGCAGGGGATCTACCTCATGGAGCGGGAGAAGGAGGACTACGTCGCGCTGTGGCGCTGGGTGGCTCATGTGCTGGGCACGCCGACGGAGGCGTTCGAGAGCGTGAGCCGCGCGAGGGCGATGATGGAGTCGCTCATGGTGTCTGAGATCGAGCCCTCCGACACCTCGAGGGCGCTGGCGAATAATGTGTTGTCCGGGCTGTGCAACCAGCCGCCGTCGTACGTGTCGCGAGACTTTTTGGCGGCGGAGACGTACTGGCTCAACGGGGCGAAACTCGCGCGCGCGCTGGGCATCGAGAGGCCGCCGTGGTACTACAACCTGCTGGTCGTCGGGCAGTGCATCTTCTTCATGGTTATGTGCTACTCCCATCGTCTGTTTCCCGGGTGGGACGAGACTCGGAACAAGGTAAGAAGAAGAAGTGATCACGTATCACAACTCACTCAAAGCGAGTCTAAACTAATACCAACCCAGAAACTCCAAAAAGGCCTCTTCAACATCACAATCAACAAGCCCGAGCTCGGCGCCCTGGGTAAGGAGACGAACTTCGAGTTCCAGTACATCCCGACCCTCGACATGATGTCCACCGAAGCCGCGAGCAGAACCTACCACCGCACCCAAAACAACGACAACAACAACAAGACCAACACCGGCAACGGCTCGTCCCCCGCCGCCGCGCGGGTGAGGCTCGTGCGCAAGACGGAGCGCCGCAACCTTGCCTCGCTCATCCTGGCCTCCGTCGCCGCGGTGCTGCTGGCTTGGCTGGGTGTGAGGAGCGCCTCAGCGCTGTTTGGGAGCTTCGCCGGGATGGCGCCGTCGGGCTGGCGTGCGGTGATTTAGAAAAGGACGAACGGACCTGGCACAGGCAGCGCGTTGATCCCGACTGCCGCCGGGTCGGTTGACCGGGTTTGGGCCGTTGCTCCGTAGGATAAGGGCAGTTACTATTTTATGTGTACGTATCTTTTTCTTGCGATTGGTAATGTCGGAGAGAATTCCCCAGACTCTTGTTTTTTGCGGCGTCGATCACTGTATCTGAAGATCAAACGGTTTTGCCTTGGGGACCCTTTTTTTTGTGGGTTCCAGAGGCGTCTCCATGGCATGAATGTCGTTGCCGCAGCTTTGGGAACGGCATACAACGCAAAGTGAGACACGTACAAGGTACCACTTGTGTTTTGGGTTGGTAATCAGTTTGTTTTGTTTCGCTGGCTGTGAAGGCCGCGCGAGTGGGAATCTAGTATACGTAAAATATGTGCTTTTTTGGCCCTTTACTACGAGCCAGCACGTGGTAGAAACTTTTTACCATGGCATAATCGCCATCCTCCGCGAAAACGACAGTCGTGTGAATCTGTCCCGGTGAAAATAAAACCTCTCGAATGCTGTATACGTGCCCTGTCTTTCCCTCGTAACGCCGTCGCATAAAATCCGTTCTCAGATGCTAGATGCGCCCAATCCTGGTTCACCCCCTGTCCGTATCGTATCCAAACGCCCAAGTAAGATCGCTCGTAAAAGACTTGGTTCCTCATGCGTCCATCATCAGCTCCACCGGCGGGCGGGAAGTGTGCGCCATGATCGGCTTGGTGTTCTCGATCGGGCTGAACTCCATGGGCTCATCCGTCATGTCCTCGAGGCAGATGGCAGGAAGATCTGGGCTGTCGCCTTGGGCGTCGGGCTTGTAGAGAAGTGTTGAGCTGCGGCTGCGCGTCTGGTGGGAGCCGTCGATGGGGCTGATGGGAGTCTCGACACCGGAGGGGCGGTGACCAAGCTTGGCCAGGGCCTCGGCAAGATCCTCGGCGTGGACCATCTTGTTAGGGGCGTCCTCCAGCTTCATCTCCCAGCCGTGAGGAGGAGAGGGAGGGGGGGAGATGAAGAAGAGCTTGCCAGCATCGGGGAGGGCAAGGTGACGGTCGGTGACCTCGACCGGCGTGGGCTGGCCGAAGTAGACGCGGACGCGCTCGCCCATGACAGCCTCACCGTCCCAGATGCGACGGACGGCGATGGCGTCGTCTTCTGAGAAGAAGGAGACGACGATACGGCGGAAAGACTTGAGGGGGGCGAAAGAGTGAATGGGCGCCGTCTTGGAGATAAGGTCGCGGATAGTCTGGAGGTTATCAGGGCGGAAGACGTTGGTGTCGTTCAAGTTTGTGAGGAGGAGGGTGTTTGATGGCGGTGTCGGCTGGACCAGAGGCGGCAGGGAGGAGAGGTCGAGGGAAAGCGACTTGTTGGAGCCAGTTGAGCGTCTGGAAAAGATGGGACGGCTGTCTGACTTGGGAGACTCCATCTTGGTGGTTGTGAGGAGAGAATGTGTGGTAGGGTGTGGTTGTGTTTGGTTGCGATTGCGTCGAGACAGCGAGGTACTGTTGGTTCGCGTGCTTTTATGTCGACGATGTGGTGCGCTTGTTCATGTGCAAGCAGGTGTGTAGTGGAATGCCTCGATATGTATGTAATTTGCGACTATTGGTTCAGGTCGTGCGTCTTTGTTTTGTTTGTTGCTTGGTGCTGGAACGAGAAGTGACGGTAGTTGGCGGGAGGCGGTCTTGGTTATATGTCTTGAAGGTTGCAGTGGGCGGTGCAGTCCACTCGGTGCAGGTCCGCGGAACGGTAGTCGGTGGCAGAGGTACAAAGTACAAAATCGACGGCTGGGGCCCAGGTCCAGTCGGGCGGAGTGTGGGATGGTTGGATGGTTGGATGGTTGGATGGTGGATGGCTGAGTGTGAGTGGGCGAGGGAGGGGTGCTGTATCGGGTGGGTGTGTCTGTGTGATGAAACGGGAAGGCCACACGGACTCACGGGCCCGTTTGAAGTTTCGCCGCCTCTGAGCCGTCGGGTCACAGTGGTGGAGACGCTGGACGCTGGACGCTGGACTGCGATACGCTTAGTGCCTCCCACTGCTCCTGCAGGCTACCGGTACCAGATCCGTTGGCAGTGCTGGCCAGTCGAGTCACTTGCGAATGGAAAAGTCATGGTCAGCCAAGCCAGGCAGTACTTCGTCAATTACAGCAGTTAAGCAGGGTCCAGCAAGGCAAGAACAACCTTGAAAGAGACGCACAGAGCATGTTGAGCACAGAGTTGGTCGTCCAGCACAGGGCCCCTGCTAGGAAGAGGAACAGGAACAGGAACGGGAACAGCAGCGCTGGCAAATTGAGGCTGTGCAAAAGCGAGAAGGAAAAAAAAAAATGCTTTTCCTCCCGCGCTCCAGTAGGCTTGGCGATTTCTCTTGGGTACTGCGAAGTAGGTTCAGCAGGAAGCAATCCAGTCAGCAAGCTTATTACCTTGTCCCCTCGTCTCTTCGGTACGCAGTAATCATGCTGCTGCAGCAGGAGCAATGTTCGATGGCGGACTGGACCACCGTGATCTTCTCTTCCATGTTCAGTGTGAGTCGGGACAAGGCCTCTGGTTTGCCAACTGCATTGTTCGCCCCACCCGAAATCGAATTGTCGAGAATGCCATTCGCCACCCCAGCCATACTTTACGCAGCGACCTGTCCGTATTACTGTGTGTACCTTGCCGCACACTGCGGAAGTCGCTCGCTCGCTGTTCCTTAGCAGCGCAACTAATGGCAGGCCCAGACCAGCTGGACATGCTCAGGCCGGCCTGCACTGCTAGTGCTACGCATTTACCGACTCAAATGAAGAAATAATCGTGTCGATACGGTCGCAGCGTCATTTCGCCCTCTCCGCCTCGCTCGGTAATTTCCACAGCAGTGACGACTGGCACTCGACGTTGAGGGCGGTGCTGCGCGAAAAAGCCAGTATCGTTCCAACTTTCAAGGTCATCTCAACCAAAAGGCAAAAAGTGACCGCATCGCCGTTGCAGGCCTCCCCCATGCACCGCACCCGGCCTGTCGTCACTCGGAAATGGGGGCGCCTCTGCGTCCCTTCCCCACGCGCCCAGCAATGGAACCCAGAACGGTGGCCGCTTCTGGCACTGTCCATGACGGCAACCACACCGTAAGGTACCGACTGCCCCGGGTACGGATACCTCGCGAAGAAACAGCGCCTCCGACCCGCTAATTGGCCGCAGCGGCATGGGCGCATCGCCGTCTTCACGATGCCATCCCACCTTGTGACCATCCACCCGTCCTCTCCCTGCCTCCCGGAAGCCTCCAACTCCATTGGCTGTGCCTCGCTGGATTCTCGAGAGGCATCTTGGCAACGGAAAGGCGATCACAGCAAATTCGAGAGATGGAACTCGGTACACTGCAGACACTGTCAAGTCAGCCACCGAATGCGCCCTCCGCTTCCCATTCGCCCTCACGCCTGCCGCTTTCCGATGATTTGGGTCTCTCGTAACCCTCTGTTACGACCCTTCGATATGCAGCCGCCTACCTACCTGCACATGGCTGCAGCGATCAATGGAACACACTTGCCCAGTCGGGACTCGGGCATATTCCGACTGTCAACGTTACCATCAGAAGCATTATCTCACTTGTCATTTGCCAGCTATCAGCTCGACAACACGTCTCCCCGCTCTCACGCTATCGGGGTAAAGATTCGAACACCCAGGGGTTCAACCGAGCTCCCCCACATCGTCAACAGTTAAGCCGCCGCGCCAAAGAGGGACCGGGGGCTGTGTAACGATAGGTTATTGTGTTCACACGACACCTCACGTCTGCCATCGCCCTCACCACGCTGAAGCACTTGACCACTGTACCTACGACGCCTGGATATTGCGGCATAGAGTTGAGTTTGAGGCGCCGCCTCCTTGGACCACCACGACGGCTACCTCGCCAAGGCCCTCTCACAGTTGTCGTTTCTGCAAGGAGACCTCAACCCTTAGGACATGATGCTTTTGATGGCTGAGGCTGTCTTGCTAGTCTTGGCTCGACAACTCGCCACGGCATCACACGTCGCTCTGGGGCTGGTTCAAGATTGATGATGGAAACTCCTCTCGACAGCCGCAGCAATTACGTCTTCATGCTATTGAAACCATGACTCAAAGGTCAGCTGGAACGAGGCTCCTCGCCTTCTTTCGCGATCGATATTGCAAATCCGGCCGGAAAAGCCCACCAGTTGTCAATCTTCCCACACCGGCTCAGCCCGGCAGCGTACGAGTCGCCCTACAAAGAGCCTTCCGCTCAGCCAACACGGGGCAAATTGCACTGAACCTCAGCCCCTTCCAACGCCGTCGAACAGACACCACAGCGCACGCTCGTTCGTCTCGTCTGATCCCGAGCATCCGTCAGCCACGATTGGTCTCCGCAGCATACGGATGAGAAGGAAATTTGCTGTCAATAGCGCCCTCAACACAGCCAAGCCATCTGTCGCAGCAAAAATGCCTCTCCTCTCGTCAGGATGCGATGCAGACATTCGATGTCTCAACTCAAATGATCCGGTGCTACACAGAATTCCCTCTCCCCCGCCCGCCCGGCGCCCGCCCGACGCAGCTTACGGACAACTGTTGGTGGTCAGCTCCCTCGCGATCTGGAAACGAGGCTGTGCAGAATACCAAGACTTTCGACCTGCCAGATTGATGTTTCGCTCTGCAATCGGCTTCCCCAGACACCCTTCTAGGCCAAGACTTTCCTTTCCTGCGCTCCACACCCGCTGCTGCACTCCAATGTCCTTCTGACTTGCGCTTTGCACCATCAGGGACCAGTTGCCGAGTCGGGTAACTAGAGGAGTCTCGCCATTGAACCCGCATGCACGACAATCAATTATCGATCCACTCGCACATCTCTCCCGTGTCTCCAGACTCACCAACCTCCAACGCCGAAGCGCCTTTTCCTGTGAAATCCCATCTTCATGTCCTTTGACTGTGGAGTGTCGTCCCGCAATCCTGAGTATTAGGCTCGGGGCACGGTTCTCCATAAACCGTTTGCTACTGTGCCGTTTTCTTCTCAACTTCAGACTCTAAGACACTCCACCCTCAATGCGCCTGGCAGCTTATCTCCACGTATCGCGGGGCCTTCCTTGCCACGAGGGAAACTGCCTGCCCAGAAAGACGACCGGCTAATAAACTTTCCATGGCAAATTCGGACCTAAGGCATGGCAAAGCTCATCTCATTCCCGTTTGAACACATCGTCAGGAACCCGCTTCAGGAAACCAGCAGCAACCTGCCAACATTGACATCCGACCCGAAGCGAAAACACGCCGGCTGTTAGACATGGGAGCGTGGCTGAGCCTGGCAATGTTGTCCAGAATCCAGACTTTTCATACGTTGCGAGCAACAGACTGAACTCCGCCCTATCACGGGAGGCATGAAACTGACTTGCACGACCGTCCCAACTTATTCAGACGACGGGCCAAAATTCTGCCTTTCCCTCCGAACGCTACTGCAGCAACGCACCGCCCGGGCATTGTAGGTTTATGGATGATACAATCGATCTGCAACCACGGCGTCACTGCTTCAGATTGCGACCCGGCGATTGACTCTGTTCCCATCCGAGCATAATCTCACCGTTCGAGAATCTCGGCAGAATCATACAAGGGCGACCGCAGGGCAGATCCGCCTTTCCGAATCGCCCGCCCGGGCGCCTGGCGCTATGCCGTGTCAAAATGTTTCTTGCCGTTGCAGGGCTTGTACGGCCCGGCACTGCGCAGCACTGAAGTCTCGCTCTGTGACATCTTTTCCCGAGAACGAACATCAAACGAACAAGATCGAAGGAACAGAGATCTGTGAGTGGACGGGCATGGGGTCTATCAAATCCCCGAGATTGCCCTGTGAACTCTAGTCCACAGCGCAAGGCCGCTCAGCCAGCTGGGAATACCGAGTGCGGTCTTATAGTACAAGTTATTCTATCATACACGGCGTGATATACTCGCGATTTGAGAAAATCAGCTACTCAAGCAGGGCGGGCAAAGTCATGCCGTTGCCTTGGCAGCAATTTTCCCTCACGACATCCCCAAGCGAGAAGTAGCTACGACTGACAACGGCATGCTAAGGGATCCCGACCCCGTTTCGCAGGGACTCACTCCAATAGGGTCGTCCCGTCTCTGCAGACCGCTCGAGTGTTGGCTACACAGCCCCCTTACCCCTCAACGCTCGATGTGCAAGCGCAAATTATGCCTCACCGGATCTCGACACCTAGCTTTTCGACCAATTTCCGGGTCACCTCGTTGTGCAGCTCGTTGGTCTCTTCGTTGGTCAGGGTGCGCTCCAGGCTTCGGTAGTTGATGCGGTAGCACATGCTGCGCCTCCCCGTCTTGGGATGTGTGAACTCGTCCACAAGCCGGACGTCCTCGACCCGCTCACCGGCGATATCCCGGACCAGCTCCATGATGTCGTTCTCGTGGAAGTCCTGCGCGCTGGCCTTGGTGTTCCCGCCCGCTGCCGACACTCCGCGCAGCCAAAATGAGACGTCCTTGTGGCAGGCCGGGTGCTTGGAGAAGGGCACGAAGCGCTTCATGGTGTCGAGCTTGTCTGATACGCCCCTGAACTGGCCGAGGAATCTCTCATCCTGCGACCAGAAGAGGCGGATGTCGGGGATCTGGAAGAGGAGCATGGCAATACGTTCCAGGCCGATGCCGAAAGCCCAGCCCAGCTGGTTGGGCACCCCCGCGTTGATGCAGATGTCCTGCTTCACCACACCGCAGCCCAGCACCTCGAGCCAGTCCCCAGCGTAGTAAACTTCGAGTTCCCAGGACGGGCTCGTGAAGGGGAAGTACGCCTCCACCCAGCGAACCCGCAGCGGCTCGTCCTTGTAGTCCGGGTCCGCCTTCGCGGCGGCGGCCTTGGCCCGCGTGAAGATCTCAACGACCATGAGCTCGAGGGAGCGCTTCAGGTGAGCACCGATGGCCTCCGCCTCGGCGGCCGAGTGATAGCCCTCCTGCAGCGGGTTCCGCTCGGCGTCGAAGGCGGGATGAGGGTCCTCGACCTTGACGCCATGCTTGGGCAGCTTGTTCACGTCCTCCCACACGGCGGCCGCGATGTCGCCGTTGGGTACCTTGGTCCGGTCCCACATGCGCGCGCCCTCCATCTGGTGGAAGACGGGGTAATGACTCCTGTCGATGGCATCGCGGCGGTAGACGTCCGCGCTGATGAGGTACCCCTCGCTCAGGTTCTTCTTGAACGTCTGCGCCTGGTGCGCGCTCGTGTGCGTCCGCAGCAGCGTCTCCTTGTTGAAGTAGTAGGTGTCCGACTTGGCACGGCCGGGGTGGTCCAGCGGGAAGCCCAGCGAGTCGAAGTTCTGGTGCGTCGAGACGACGGGGTCGAAGGTGTTGTGGTACTTGTACGTCGGCGCAGGGAACTGCGACTCGATGATCTGCCGGGTGATGTAGACGGGGTGGTCCTTTTGCAGGTGAAGCTTGCGCGACGCCGCGTCGAGGACGGTCTTGGGCACGTTGAACCACTCGTCGGTCGTGATGGTCTGGCCGTTGACCTCGATCGTCTTCTTCTTCTGGTCTGCTGCTGCTGCGCTTCGCTCAGCAATTGAGATGGCCCACGGCGGAGTAGATCTTGGTCTGACCTGAAGAATAGGCGCGCCGGCTACTGCTCGACAGCAGCAGCGCGGGGCTTGTCCATTGTCGAGGGGCAGCACCGGGGCAGATGGCGCCACGGAAGCAGCTGCGCAATTGCCTCCCTGCTAGCCTTGGGATGAGCATGTTTTGGATTGCCCTTGATACGACGCAAAGGCTTTGTCGGGAATTAAGTGTTCGTTACGGGCACCTCGAAGGTGTCCGGAACTGCAGCGGTGACTCGACAATTGGTCTCCTTCGCCGAGAATGGAGCTGGAGCCCTGAGCAAGTCGGTCGTCCCCGTCGATCGCAAGAAAACTGACGGGACGCACGGACCAGACGCCGTCTTGTCTTTTCGGCGACGGGCGGGATGCCGACCCGGGGTCCTGGAGGCGCTGTAGCGCATGGCACCCCTGCTGATTAGCGCCCATGACGCAGCAGCTTTCTGCTCGTCCAGCGCCGATAACAGCCGAGAGCTGGGAGGATTGGGGGGTTGTTTTTTTCTAATCAGGCCCAAGGGGAGGGGAGGGAAAAAAGTTCGTGATACACCGAGCCGAACGAACCATTCGGCTTCTTCCACCCACGCACCACCTCACCACCTCCAACTTCTCCAAACGCCAACCCCGAAGTCGGCTTTTTCGAGCGCTAGACGTCACCGCAACCCTCCCCGAAAGTGACGTTCTACCCTCGAATCGGCGACAAACAGAAACCTTGACCTTGCTACATAGGTCACCAGGAAGACAACCTTTCCGGTTATCAATTGGGCAAATTTAGATAAAGGTTTCTGGTTCTCCGCGACGCAAGTTCACTTTGCGCCGCAGCGGGATGAGCCTTTCGGTCAAGATCGCATAGCTGCAACGATGCAGTCCACCGCCAACATGGTTCCTGCCGCCGCCTCCAGCAAGCCCGCCGACGAGGCGTCATCCTCATCGTCGCCGGTGAAGGCGGTGCAAGTTGATAGCCGGGAGAAGCCGCAGCAGAAGCAGACGACGACACCCAAGAAGAAGGCGGATAGCTCCACGCGATACCCCTTTTGGTTCGGAGGCAGCGCCAGTAGTATGGCCGCCTGCGTAACACATCCCCTGGATTTGGGTGAGTCTTCTTCCCCCGTGCTTGTGATCGAGCAAGTGTGTGCATGATAAGCACCTGCGATATCGCAATGCCGGAGTTTACAGGATGCTGACGATGTCTCAGTCAAGGTACGCATGCGCCCGAACAACACCACCAGCACACAATCACGAACACCCCAATTGCCGTGACGAACATGCAATCTCGAACGAATCATTCATACTTACCAAACAATGCACAGGTCCGCCTGCAAGTCCGCCGTCCCGACGCGCCAAAGAACATGGTCGGCACCTTCGCCCACATCGTCCGCAACCACGGCATCACCGGCCTCTACAACGGCCTCTCCGCCTCCCTCCTCCGCCAGATGACCTACTCCACCGTCCGCTTCGGCGCCTACGAGGAGATGAAGGTCCGCGCGACCCGCAAGAACAACGGCAAGGCCCCGGCCTTCCCCGTCCTCGTCGCCATGGCCTCCGCCTCGGGCTTCGTCGGCGGCATCTCGGGCAACGCCGCCGACGTGCTCAACGTGCGCATGCAGCAGGACGCCGCCCTGCCCGCCGCCGAGCGCCGCAACTACAACCACGCCCTCGAGGGCATGCTGCGCATGGCGCGCGAGGAGGGCATCATGAGCTGGTTCCGCGGCGTGCTGCCCAACAGCATGCGCGCCGCCGCCATGACGGCCTCCCAGCTCGCGTCCTACGACACCTTCAAGGGCATGCTCATCAGGCACACGCCCATGGGCGACAACCTCACTACGCACTTCACCGCGAGCTTCCTCGCGGGCGTCATGGCCGCGACGGTCACCAGCCCGATCGACGTCATCAAGACCCGCGTCATGTCCGCGACCACGCAGGAGGGGCTGGCGCACACCCTGGCCAAGATTTATAAGGCAGAGGGCCTGGGGTGGATGTTCAAGGGCTGGGTACCTAGTTTCCTGAGGCTTGGACCGTGAGTTTCCTGACACATCTCATTCGACGCTCACAATCGACTAACCATCTAACAGCCAAACCATCTGTACATTCGTCTTCCTAGAAATGCACCGCAAGGTCTATAGAGCGGTGACCGACGTTGGCGGCGAGGAAGCCATCTAGGGAGTAAAGTAGCATTAGACTTCAGCGTTTTAGACACTGCATATGTAATGAGGGGGCGTTGGAAAGAGGTCATCTGTTGCATTTTTGACAGGAGTCTTGGGGATACACAAAAGAGTTGGATGCTGGTTTTCGCTTCAAAAAGACACATATTTGGGCTGTTTTGTGAGTTGTATTAGAGGTGCCTTGGAGGGCTGGAGTCTTCAGATTACTCGTATTTTTCGGCCCCTTCACCCTCACCTTTCGTATCGTTTTTTCTTGCATCGCCTTTTCAGTTTTCGACGTCGTCCCTCGCGGACGTCCAGGCCAGTATGAGAGCCAAGTCTATATGCCAGGAAAGCCACATTGGCAAAGAATCAAAACCGTCTCCCCTCTTACCCCTGAGATGCTCCCGTCGCGAGGTGCTGGCCCAGTCTCATACTCATACTGGAACCCCAAATGTCTTTTTATGTGAATAGGCCAGTCCATGCTGATGCTGGCTGTCCTCAAAACTCGCAAAACTCCATTGCCGCCCATCTTCAAGAGATCATTAACGCCTTTATTGTGTGGATCATCATGCTCAGTTCCAGCCAGATTGGCCAGAAGCACCGTAGGGTGTGGTGGTAGCGTACGGAGTCGTCGCGCTCCCACCCCATGAGCCCTGAGCGCCACCGTTGAATGGGGTGGTGTAACCTTGGTCCTGTCCCCAGGGGTTGCCGCCGTCCATGTCCAGGTTGGGGCTACGTGGGCCGTCAAAGTCGCCCATACCATCGTCATCAGCCTCGCCGGTGAGCATGTGCAGCAACAATGCCATCTTCTCCTGGATGATCTTGATTCCCTCCTGGATGATCTGGTCGGGCTCTAGACTTCCAACGCCCTCGACCTCGAAGTAGAACTTTTCAGGTACTGCGTCGTAGTCGAACGCTTCTCCCTCTTGAGGAGGGTCCTCCATCTTCGCGTACTTGCTCTCAGGCCTAGAGAAATATGTTTAGCCATAACATACTGCGCGTTGCCAACCTTGAGAGACTTACCACTCCGCCTTCGCATCCTCCTCATACCACATGTCCAAGTGATGCAGCTTGTTATGAGGGTCGTATTCAAAGCCGACAGCAGCCGTAGGCATCCATTTCGCGTGCTCCTTGGCGATTCCCTTCTTTGCGATGCACGACAACTTGAGCTCCTGACCCTTGCGCAACTTTGCGATCAGAGAGCCCTGACCTTCCGGATCCATGATGACCGGGTTTCCTACGGTGCCATTTTGTCTGAAACTATCGACAATCAGGTCGCTCGCATAAACCTTCATCGTCTCGTCGGAGGAGCAGCGTGCGTGCAGGGTAAGCTTGACACTGCAGTTGTCGCAGTACTGCTCGCAGTCGCAATCACGGGAGTACAATAAGCTGTTGACATCCTTCGAATGCAGGGGAATGAGACCCAGACGGTGGGCAATGAACTCGTCGGCAAGAACAGAGGTATTGGCTTCGATTTCGACCAGGTCGATGGCGATTGTCGGGACCTCGGCCTGAATCACGCGCCGCAGCGAGTTGGCAAAAGAGAGATCGCAGTTCGAAAGGTCAAAGTTGACGTGGATGTTGTCGGCCTAACCAGACAGATGGAAAGTTAGCACCACGACCTTCATTCCATCGATGAAGCGGTGTGATTTACCCCCGAAATCTTGATCTGAGGCCCCCCTGACTCGCCGTCCAACAGCATCGGTTCGTACTCCATCGCGCCTACTCCGCCAAATCGAGGTCTAGTTTGCAAGTTGTGGAGGGCTGAGAAACGTCGCAAGAGCAAATAGTAGCACCGGGATCGAGTGCGCGGGTTTCTGATAAAGCCGCCTTTGTGACCGAGTATCGACGTGGGTGGGTTGTACGAGGATGAGTTGGCGATAGCTAGGCAGTGGGGGAAGGCTGAAAGGATATTTTTGCGACAGGAGGCGAGGTGAAGTCGCGCTCTCCCAATTGGAATGTCCAGCAACCGTGCAGCGTCGTGCCTGGCGTGCTAAACCACACTGGCCTTGCCTTGGCATTACTCTTATCGATAAAGCTCGCCGCCGGGCCCTCCGTTCATCCGCCCCGAGATGGAGCTCCATCCCCGGACTTGATTGGGCGCAAAAGTTTCCCGAGTGGCCGTGGGCTAACGGCAGTCCATCCGTCACTGAGGGCCATTCCGATAAAATTTCATTCCCTCTTAAAAGCTCCTCAGCACACGCGACAGTCCCTGCATCGCCTCCCGACCCTCCCCTCTAAATCTTCCACCTCCTGCGCCCCCCAATTCCAACAACCACAAACGCCAAAATGTTCAGACAAGCTATCGCCACCTCTTCCCGCGCTGTGCGCTCCGGCATGCGCACCCAGACTCCCAAGTCTGTCTTCCAAAACCAGTTCCAGACTTCCCCGGCTTTCAGGATACGGGCCGCTCAGCCTGCCGTCGCAAGATGGTACAGCGACGCCAAGGAGAAGGAGACCAAGGAGACCGAGGCGCCCAAGGAGAGTGAGAAGGCTGAGGACGCCGAGTCACCGTTGAAGAAGCAGCTCGAGGCCAAGGAGAAGGAGGCCGCTGACTGGAAGGTTCGTCGATGCGCAATTAACCCCTCCTACCGATGTCGGCTCTCCGAGAAAAAAGTGGCTAACACAGCAACGCTCAACAGGACAAGTGCCTGCGCACCATCGCCGACTTCCGCAACCTCCAGGACCGCACACAGCGCGAGGTCAAGCAGGCCCGCGACTTCGCCCTCCAAAAGTTCGCTAAGGACCTTGTCGACAGCGTCGACAACCTGGACCGCGCGCTCTCCATGGTGCCCCAGGAGAAGATCAACGCCACCGAGAAGTCTGGCGACCTCCAGGACCTCGTTAACCTGTACGAGGGTCTCAAGATGACCGACGACATCCTCATGTCCACCCTCAAGAAGCACGGCATCGAGCGCGTCAACCCCGAGGGCGAGAAGTTCAACCCCAACGAGCACGACGCCACCTTCATGGCACCTCAGCACGACAAGGAGGACAACACCGTCTTCCACGTCCAGCAGAAGGGATTCAAGCTCAACGGTCGTGTGCTGCGCGCCGCCAAGGTCGGCGTCGTCAAGAACGCTTAAACCGTCTGACTCGTCCGCGATCTCCAGCACTCGGCCCCTGCTGATGTGCGGGGGTCTTTCCAACCAAAAGATTCCATGGGGCTGGCCTGCCGCTGGGAGGCTTCGGCGGCCGCAGCCCCCTTTGTACCATTATGTTCTACGATACTGTGTCGATTCCCGGAACAGCGAACTGGGCGTTCCGTTCGGTGTATAATGCTCCTCTCATGACGTTACTATTGCATGGCTGATTGGGGGCCAAAATGGGTTGGCCCTCACTGGAAGAAAAGAAAAAGGATAGAATCCGAATATGTTGTGTACATAGGCCTCGGATAGGGATTCCGGGGTCTCACGATTCTTCTCAAAAGCTCTGGTACAATTTAATTACCGCCTTGGAGACATTGATCTCCCTGTCACTACATCACATTCAACCTTCAATGGCTATTCATTTCCGTGATATACTCTCCATCTTTGATTATCTACACATTCCTCGGTGGAAAGTTGGCAATTCCGACGTCGAAGTCTTCACCTCTCTTGGGGTATCGTACTCAAACTAGGGCATATCCTATGCCGAAACATTGCGCAAAGCAAACAAGAAAAAGAGCGGGAGGGATGGGCATGTCAACAATTGCCAATTCCGCTTTCAGCCTGCCGCGCCGTGTTAGTCAACGGTCCCACTGATTGATAATTCCCAGCTTGGCAATACCTAATACTCGGCTCACCCTCGGGAATGCATCCGGTAGTGATTGGTTTCTCGACTTTCACCAACCATCTCGTCGGCCGAAAGACGAGGAAACAGAGAGAACCTTGGTGTCCTATGGCCATGCATGTCTGCACTGTCAACAAGATTGAGTGAAGCGGACCCCCGGCCAAGCATCAATGATGCGACAGTGAATTTCACTGTCAGAAGCAGTCTGCAAGCTCAAGGGCGATCATCTTATCCCGAAAGTGCTCCGAGACCGCCTTGCGGACCTCATCGGGGCTCGCCATTTCAGCCCTCGCGCACTCATTCTTGATCTGCCACTCAAGCAGCGCCAGCTCAGCCTTCATGCTCTGGTTCTGGGTCTGCGCATGCTTGAGAGCGTCGAACTTGCTCTGGATCTCGTATCGCAACTCGTGCAGGTGTGCCGAAACCTGGCGAAGGATCCGCCTGTGATTGCGCTGCCGCATCGCCATGTCCTCCGCGGCCTTCTTCTGCACGATATGGTCGACCGCCAGCCGGATCTCTCGCAGCTCCATCTTGGCTCGCTCAATGGCGCCGCGCATGTTGTCGTTCTCACGCGTCATCTCTGCATCTTGGTTCTTCCATCGGGTGACCGTCTGCCAGCGCTGCGAGATGATGAGCTGGGCGTTCTGGGGTGCGACGCCGGCAACGCGGCGACTGGCGGGTGAGTGCAGCGCTTCGAGGACCTCAGCGTCGGTGTAGGACTTCCTGTAGTTGCCGATACCGTCATCGCTGGAGGTGCTTGAGGAGACGACCGAGCGTGCTGAGATCGTCTCGAGGGGCGTTACGGGGTCGTTGGCCTCGCGGAACTGGACTTTGCGGAAGCGGCGCGCAGCAATCGGGTCCATACGGTCAAAGAGGCCAAACCACCAGTTGCGCATCTTGTGCTTGAGGGTAACGCCTGACAAGGTTAGAAAGGTCCAGTCCGAGGGAGTCTAGTGGTAGTTGCCTGGAGGACTGAAGATGATGGAGGGCTCTGATTCTACTGAGTAGCACGGTGTGATCCAACCCCCATCGTTGATGTCTCTCTGGAGCTCAAAGGAGAGAGTAAGTCGGTCGACAACGAGATGTCTGTCATTATCCTCAAGAGGCGTCTCGGGGCGCATGCGTTGAGCCTGGGACAGATTCAGTCAATGCTTCAGGGAGGGTAATAAGGGGCCACATACATCCTCCGCCATGAAGACTTGGTTTGTCTGAGGGTCTCGTCGAGAGCAGCCTTCAGATAGGAGACGGAATGTGCACGGCGAAACGCGTCCCGATTCGGGGTCACCCTCGTCATCCGAGATGTCATACTCCTCAGCTGTCATAAATGAGAATGTGACCACGAGAAAAGTTAGGTTACTCTTACCGAAGTCACGATTAGTATCGTATGGCTGCTTGTAAGCCGACCCAGGCATAGAAACCTCGGGATGCATGTAGTCTTCAAACTTGAAGCTGTTGAACCTGGGCGAGACGTGAAGATATCTGGGACGGGGCACTTCGTAGGCTGGGTTGCGATCCGTCTCAGGAGGCGCATACTCTTTTGTAGCCATGTTGGCCTCCTTCAGCATCCTGTATGATGGTTAAATGAAAGTCCTCTTCTGAGCGTGGGAGCTTACTTGGCATAATCCTCCATCTCTCGTTTCTCCCCAGAACTCAGTCCAGATGTCTGAGTTGTATCCTTTGACGGCGATGTCTGCGTCACAGACCTTGTGCCCAGGCTTGCCGTCTCTCGAGATGTCTGAAACGACTCGGCCATTGTGGACCCCATCGTGGACTCGTTCATGGACTCGGTCGCTTTGATGGCCATCCAATTGCGCAGTGGATCGTTTCCCGGGAGCAACGGAGGGCCTCGCATGGCATTGTAAGCCATCATCATTGAATCCGTCAGTTTCCACGTCTTATTGTAGGGGTGGCCGGCAGAGCAGCCTGGAAGTCGCGGGCTGGGGTCATCCGGGCCATAGTCGACCAGATTGCTCTGGAACATCGACCAATCCTTCGCTCTAGTTGAGCTACCCATCTTCAAGCTAGCATTCTGAGTGCTTGAACCTAAGCGGCATCAGCATCTATTCTGGATGATGGTGAATGCAAACACCGTATGTGTTGGTGAGCAACGCAGGGATGAATGCAAGGCAGGGGTAATTATAAGGGAAGCGCCAGTTTGTATGGGAATAAGGGAGAATAACTAAGAGATGTTCCAAACAATCTTACCTTTTTCGGTAGACTGTTGGCATGATGCAGTCGGCGACGAAGACCGAGCTTGGCAAGCTGCTTCCATTTCGTCCATGTCGTAATGAATCACCGTGTCAGGAGCTGCTTCAGTCAGCGTCGTACAGTCATGCCGAAGCTCTGAGACATACTGGAACAGCGGTCGAAATCTTCTAGGTTGTTGTCCTGTTCCCAGTTACCGTACAGAACCGTGTCTGCGTTGTTCTGTATTAGGTCCCCATGCCCGAGGCCCAAGGGGCCGACATTGGAAGCACCCTCATCAAAGCGGTATTCGGTGTTCTGGTGCACATACTCTTCAAGAATGTCAGAACTGTCGAACTTCTCGTAAGTGATGTCTTCGGTAAGGTAGTTGTGAAGGTGATCGGCAGAAACATCGGCATTGGCCCCGGTCGCAATCATAGGGGTCGATTCGCGGGAAGCCTCCTCGATCATCGAGAGCTGATGAGGACTATGAGCGCGGACGGCAACCACTGCCTCGGGTATCGCTTATGAGAGCTCATTAGATATTTTTCAAATGCAATTGGGTTCCATCGTAGAGGAAAGGCGAGATATTTGAGCACTTACTTCGCCGGCCCATTGAGTACTGATCCGGCCCTCCTCGTCTGGAAAGTGCAGAGGATAGTGCCGACAGATTTTCAAGAGTAAGCCTCTCGGGGTCTTTTTGAGGCAGTTTCCTCTTCGAGATGAGAACTGTTATACGAGGGACGTCGGAAAATGTCAGCTGAAGGTCGAGCTATACGTCGAAGACGCAGTATCCCCAATGAGGAAGTTGGTGTCCTGATATCCGCTGCAGTCGATAGGATGAAAGAGTACCCTTAAGATGCAAGGAAGGAGGGAGAGAAATCTCGACAGTAATGATTGAAGAAAAAGTTGAGTGAGTGGTAGAAGCGAGCAGTCCAAGTGGAATGGAAAGAGTGACATGGGAAAAGCAAGAGTGAAGAGGTAGTGGTGAATAGGATGTCAAATTACCTTTGCAAACCTCCGCAATTCCTCCAACAGTTTTCATGGGCCACGTCTTGCGCTTGCCCATTTTTGTGTCCTTTGTTATGGTGGACAGTGTGGCCGAGGGCATCGTGAGCGACAAAGCAGAAGATTTCACCTAGAGGTGACAAGTGAGCAATGATTAGGTGAAATCCCTTTCGAGAGACTCACCAGACCCCTGAGGGAAGTCGCGCTCTGGATTTCTAAAAAGCTTGCCCACATCCAATAGACCTGACGGAGTTGGGATCTCAGAGCGATTTAAGCTCCATGGCTTTTCAGGAAGGTAGCTCCCATGGGAGATGGGAGTTTTTAAGGAAGGAGGCGAAGAACATTTTTCTGTCAGGCACAAGCAGAAACTGCCTGGCTTACTTTACAGCTGGTCAGATCGCACGGTCAAAGGGTGCAAAATCGAATTGTGATAATTTTGCCTTTCAAAGACCCCAAGAAGGATGGGTCAGTTGAGTACGTATAGCGCATTAACAGCCCTTTGTACAAGAACAATACAATATCTAACAACATAGAGCTCAGGAGCCGCGTCCTCCACTAATCCCGCACGCCCTAAAGTGCATCTGTCCCCTCGGTGAGAGCAACGCCTGTTCATAATAATTACAAAGGCCAAAACGGCAACCTCACACTACCAGTCATTATTTCTTGCCCTTGCCCTTTGCTGCTGTAGTATTGGCCTTGGGACGTCCTCTCTTAGGCTTGGCATCCGCATCATCATCTTCGTCCTCCTCTGCTTTGGCCTTCTTGGTGGCTCTCTTAGCCTTGGGCTTGGGCTGCTTGATGTATTTATCTCCCTTCAGATCAAGCTCATCCTCTTCAGCAGGCTCAGCAGGTTCAGCAACAGCGGCATCGTCCTCTTCCTCGATGGCCTCCTCCAGGTCCGGGGCCACTTTAGCAGCCTTGGGAGCCATCACGTTGCTAGACTTCATGAATGGAATGGGATGCGACATGGCGTTATATCTGTGATAAGTTAGAACATTGATATGTCAGGGGGTTTATTGGAGCGTTTCTTACGTTCGAGTGAATGCGGCCTTCGTCTTTGACTCGATTTCAGCACGACCCTCGGCCTGGGGTCCAACGCCCAATTCTTGAATGGCGTCAAAGTCGTCTCGCGTCAAGTAGTAGCTGTCCATTAGTTGGATAATCTCTTCCACGCAGTCCTTGCCCTCGACAGACAAGCGACGGATGAGCTGGTCCCATAGGACGGGCAAGTACTGCTGACGAATCTCATGGGCATCGCCTGATGATCTGAGTCGCATATGAGAGTGAATCTCACGGATGTAACGGCTCAGCTTGCCGGTCTTGCTGTTATTGCCGAGCCAAGAAGTGAAGCTGGAGCCCATAAGCTGGCCAGCGATGTAGCTTGCGGGACGGACAGTGCTGAAAATTGCGTGGGTAGGCATGAGACTCCACTGTTGCTGCGGTCCATGAATCATACGATCGACCAAGTCACCATCACTGATGCTCTCAGCAGCCTGATCCACGAGTTCGAGGTACTTGAGATTCTCCTCTCTCTTGTTGTAGCCCTTGTGGTTGAGCGCCATCGGCTTGCTTTTGAGGTAATTCTCCTGGATCATGAGATAACTGAACTCATGATCGTTGAAATAGAGCTCAATCTTCTCGTTGAGGGTGGTCTTGCTGGCGGGAGCGAATAATCCACCCCCAAGCATCTTCTGGCAGATATCCCATGGCTTCAGAATGACGTGCTTCTCCCAAGCCTTCGTCATCGCCTTGCTTTGATCGTAGTTCATGTTTGCTTGGTCGAGCTTGGCTGTCGATATCATGTTGATAATCTGTCGAATATCCTTATTGCTGCCTTCAATCAGGGCGTCCACCACCGGCACGGGCAGTTTCAACCCTTCACGATGGCAAATGGTCATGATACGAGACCGAACTTGCTCCACCGTTGGGCGTCGGAACGGGACATCCGTGGTGACGAAGTCGAAGGGCTTCATCTTCGGCAGCTTGCGCTCGTTGCAGATGAGAATGAGGGGCACCTCGGTCTTCTTGCAGAACTTCGCGAGAGCTCCAACACCACCTCGGTCGCCGGCAGACATTCCGTCAACCTCATCCATGATCAACACGATGTTCTTCTTGACCCCATCGACCTTTTTGCCGTCTCCGGCAAAGTAACCAAGGAGCGAAGTGTTGTTCATGATTTCACTCACGCCATTCTCGACAAGCTTCTTGCTGCGCGTGTCACTGGCGTTACTCTCAATTACGTCGAAACCCTCAAGTTTTGCAGCCAGGTGGGCAGCAGTCGTCTTGCCGATACCAGGGGGGCCGGAGATGATGATGGCACGGGTGCCGCCCATGCCGTCTGCACCACGCTTCTGGAAGTCGTATTTCCTTGACTTTTGCCAATTTCTGAGCCAGGCTTGGATTTTCTCGACCTGGGACTTGTTGCCACAGATGTGGTTAAGTTGACTTGGCGCGTATTTGGAAGTCCAGAGCTGCACTGGAGCAGCCGCCGGAGCTGTCGCGGTGGTTGTGCCACGAGCTGCAGCTGCCTGTTTCGCAGCCTTCTCAGCTGCGGCCTTCCTAGCTTTCTCTTCTCGTTCCATTTCCAGAGCCTGATTCTTGATGTTTTCCTCTTCCTGCTTCTTCTTCTCGCGTGCCTTCTCAGCGCCTTTACCACTGCCACCGTATGCTGGGAGACGTCGAATAAGCTCGAACAGACCCTCCTCATTGATCGTCTTGATGCCGAGATCCTTGATCTTTCTCAACTTGCTTGGGCCTGCGTCGTCGCCTAGCACAACGTAACTCGTCTTGCTGCTTGGTGATCCTGTAACTTTGCCGCCGTACTTCTTGACCAGAGCCTGTCCTTCTTCGCGGCCGATCGTTTGCAGCACTCCAGTAAAGACAAAAGTCAAGCCTGAAAGACACTCATCTTCACCCTCGGGAAGCTCTGCAGCTCCAGCATTCGGGGGTGCAGCACTGCTGTTGCCACCTCCAGCAGCTGACTTACGCCAGTCAAACTTCGCGTTGGGGTCTTGCGGGGGAGGTGTGGGAGGGCGGACGGTAGGAATGTCGTCCAGAATCGACTGATAGGTGGCGTCCTCGGGGACATCGGCTTTCTTGGCTCTAGGAGCACGAGGCTTCGCGGGTGCCTTCTTCTTTTGCGGAGGTTGCTCTTCCTCAGAGTCCTCAGATTCCTCCTCGGGGGTCTTGCGCCTCTTTGTGCCAGCTGCTGCCTTGGTGGGAGCCGCAGCCGCAGCACTCCGAGAGGCCACGCGCTTGGGTTTCGGTAGCACCTCCTCGTCACTATCGTCCTCCGCGTAGTCGTCGTTCTTTCGCTTGTTCCGTCCCTTGATATCCGCCGCGAAGATATCGCCATCATCGTCATTGTCACCCTCGTCAACATAGGCATCGGCGTTGTCGTCCGAGTCGTACTTCTTGAAAGCCGTGGTCGTACGCTTCTTTGAAGCTGTTGTTCCGTTTTTGGCAGGCTCTTCGGTTGGTCTGGCTGCGACCTTCTTGTTGCGTGGGCTTGTACGGATCTCCACCTCGGTCTTCACCTTGGTTATTCGGTCTGTCTTCGGCGAGGGCGCTGGTTTCGAGGTCTTTGATGATGAGAAGTAATCGCTAGCGGTTGTCTCTGTTCCCTTCACAGCCTCGCTCCTGAAAGATCGGTTAGCCAGAGTGGGCAGGACTGGATGCTTGGTTATCGTACTTGATCTTCTTTTTGTCGGCGGCCTTGGCCGCAGGCTTTCTGTTGTACATTTAGTAAAATGACGATTTAAAAACAGACTTCGCATGTCTTACGGTGCGGGAGCAGGTGCTTCCTCATCGTCGCTGTCTTCCACGACCTTTCTGCCCCTTCGACTCTTGGGCGGCTCCTCGGCCTTCTTCGGTGCGGGCTTGGGAGGTGCACCACCCTTTGGCCCAAAGAAGGACCGGATGTCAGCAGGCATTGTGAATTGGTGCTGCAGTAACCTAGAAGCCTGTGACGGTTTGACTGCAATGAGGTTTGTCCGAAGTTTGAAAAGGCTCGTTGTGGTGCTGTTGCCTAAGGGACGTGTGATGTTGGTGAACGGCCGATGCCAATTGCTTCGTTCGTGCCTGGCGTCCGAGGAAGCGTGCTCGTAATGGATTTCCTACGCGAAAGTGACGCGAGGTCCGTGACCCCCGGTCGCTCTTTCCATTAAAGCACGAGAGTGGGGTGTGGCTGAAGCAGGAGCTCCAAGCCTCAGGAAAAAACGAGCGCCCAAATTTTCAGGCCACCTCAGCCACACCTCGTGCTGCAAAGCTGGGGATTTTTTTGGAGATACTATCGTCAACCTCATCAATCGGCAAGTCGCAAACATGAGGCCCAACGCTCCCTCGGCGCTTCTCAGCGCCTTTCAAGGCCTCAGAATCTCTGCGGCGCCATCAATCAACCCCTTTGACGCTGCCATCCGACCCCAATTGACCAAGCCACTGGTCGCATCACAGATCCTCCGCGA